ACAACAAACTGTACATGATATATCTCTAATTTAAAATAAACTTGCTATTCTGTTAATATTTTATAAAATTATGTTTTAGCTTCAGAATTTGTCCCATGCTTAATGACACCTTGTCAACATCATGGCACATGCATGAGTTATTTAGCATCAAATGTCCCTTACTACCGATGTGTATGTGACTCAATGTGGACTGGACCAAATTGTGAAAGAAAAGGTAAGACAAATTGAAAAGATAAACCTATGATTAACTGAAAAATCTAATGAAATTACTTCGAACGATGGTATTTTTCTGTTACCCACACCCAAGTAAAAATTTTGATAAAGCTACAAAAGCACGATGAAAATATTAATTCATAAAGCAATTTATAATAATATCAGTTGAACATACGAAATGATGTACGTGTAAGTGTCATTTATGTATATTATAATATCAATGAGAAGTTTACCTAACAAAAACTTACTAGACATGTAGAGTAAACTACGGTTAACATTACTATCAGTGTTTTTTTTTTACTGTAGTATCAGTTAATAAAAGTTTTTTGCATTGTTATTCAAAGTATTTTAAATATGAATTGCAGATTGTCATTTTTAGCTCTACTGGTCAGAGACCAGAAGAGCTTATGCGATAGTAAGATGTCTGTCGTCCGTCCGTCTGTCTTTCTGTCTGTCCGTCTGTCTGTAAACAATTTTTCAAAACGCTACTCCTCTTACAGTTTTGGTCTGATTTTCATATAACTTGGCACACAAGTAGACCCCACAGAGATACATAAAATAGTGCATCGTTTTTTTATTTCGATGGGCGGTGTTGCCATGGTTACTAAAAATTGAATTTTCTGTGAAATTCCTTTAAAAGGTTACTCCTCCTACAGTTTTGATCTGATTTCAATATAATTTGGCACACACGTAGACTACACTAAAAAAACATAAAATAGTGCATCGATTTTTGATTTCGATGAACGATGTTGCCATGGTTACTAAAAATAGAATTTTTCTGTGAAATTTATTTTAAATGCTACTCCTCCTACAGTTTTGATCTGATTTCAATATAATTTGGTACACAAGTAGACTACACAAAGATACATAAAATATTGTAACGGTTTTTGATTTCGATGAACGGTGTTGCCATGGCTACTTAAAATAGAATTTTCTGTGAAATTCCTTTAAAACGCTACTCCTCCTACAATTTTGGTCTGCCTACAATATAACTTGGCACACAAGTAGACTACACTAAGATACATGAAATAGTGCATCGGTTTTTGATTTCAATGTACAGTGTTGCCATTGTTACTAAAAAAAGAAATGTCTGTAAAATTCTTTAAAACGCTACTCCTTCAGTTTCGGTCTGATGGCAATGGCTTCTTTTCTCATCCTTTGTTATAAGTACATACCAGTATAGCTACAGTCTCGACGGAGACTTCTGGTTCTTTATTCTTTTAAATTCTTACAATCAATTTTTGTAGATTAAAAAGAAATAACCTGTATATCTACATATATCTAAAAATATTTTCATAGGTATGTACTTTTAAGAAAAAAAATTAAAGCTCTAAATCTTTAGAATTAACTTTCTATACACTGAAAGAAATACCCAGTTAATTGAAACTAGTGTGCCTCATAAAGCGTTCGTCGTGATTAGTAATCATTCTGTTCACTAGCAAAGATATTGAGAAGTTGAGTAATAAAACTACTTTTAAGGTAGTGATTGTATGAACAGTAAATTTACTAACATTTACTAGTTATTTTTTTCACTGTGTACGTAAAGTAAAGAGCCATATAAATCAAAGTATTTACTATAATAAATACGTATACAAACTACATGTATATCAAATGTTGTCATGGTTAAATCGGTAATGTTTTATAGACTGATATAAATGGATAAAATGTTCTACACTCCACTCTCCTTTGTTTTAAATTAAAACATCACTTTTTGACACTGGTATTACTATTTATAACCAATGAATATCATTTTTATCAAACTTCTTCTATCGTTTTCTATCGAATTTTTTATAGATTCGTACATGCGCAATTGTGTGATATCGAAACATTTTTAAAATGTTGTTTGCATAGCAGACTCACAGGCATTTGTTTCGGATACAAATTTTAACCCAATAGTATAATATTATACTATATGTTAAAATTTATTTCTGAAACAAGTGCCTGTGAGCAAACTATATAAGACTATGCAAAATATATAATACATATAAGCTATTCTCTCTTATATTTATATGCTATAGCAGGTGGTAAATGCATTTCTTGGAACAGTTTAGTTAAAACGAAGTAGTATTGTTATCATTCAAAGCTTTAATAATTGATACCAATTTAAGATAATATGTCCGGGTAAAGTATTGTTTGATATTGTTGATACATGTACCATTTTAATTTGTTATCAAAGTATAAATATTCCACTAGGCAATTCATATTTTAGTTAAGGCTTTGTTTAACGACTGCACTTGTTGTACTACCTCATTTCTATCTAATCAGTGAAACAATTTGTAGTTCCTCAATGTCAGTTCAACCCGTGTAAAAATGGAGGGATGTGTATGGAAGTCAAGGATGATTTCATGTGCCACTGTCCATCAAATTTTGTCGGCAAAACTTGTTTAAGTATGTATACTATATATTGTATCATTGTTGCGGTGTTTTCCTTTGAAGATCGCTGTCTTTTTATTTTTGATACATCATGGCTAACTGTGATCTAACAACCGTGGTCTATCAAGATAGAGCACGCCAGGGTGAGGGTGAAACAATTCTAATAAATGGCCCATGACCTTACACCGAATAATTAGGGGAAAAGTAAATACAAAATCATGTAAACATAGTGAAGGAATACCTTCCCTAAGATAAAGAAAAAATAATTTTGCACGTCGATTTTTAAATCCAAATTGAAATTCACACAGCGGGTTTAGAAATTATTAGTGTTTTTGACTCATAAACTTGAAGCGTAACAAAGCACACACAATAAACTACATGTACAGGAAATGAGGTAAATATTCCGAGCCGTCTTGTTTTATTAATTCCAACACAAATCGACACATCGAGTAATTTGAAGAATCGCCGTTCATCGGTCTCAAGAGTCCATTTTCCCGTGCGGTATTCCTAGAACGTTTAAATTGCCCATTTAGTATTTTTACGAGTGTAGAAATTAATTGACATAAAGAATTTTCCTGAATAATTTCAATTTTCATCGAAAATTGCAATAACAAAATCACAACCGTCATCCATGGCGTTCAGACTTGAATGCAAGTTTCAGAAATGCAGCGGGCTATATACTTTTCGAATCACGTGCTCCTTTTTCATTGGTCATATAAAATTGTTTGATGAAATTATGATAGATCATGGCTAACTCAGTGCGTGAGAATACAGTCCAATTACGTGCTTTTTACGTAAATGTGATAGATCATGAGTAACTCAGTTCCTGGGAACGATGATACAAAACATATAGAGTACCTTTTAACTCGTGCATCTTCATATATCAGGCTCGGGGGACAAGCCCCCTCGTCTGATATCTGAAGATACACTCGTTAAAAGGTACTCTATATATTACTTTTTCTTTCTCGAAATTTTTCTGTATTCAAGTAATATTAAGTTTTATCAACAGATCAATATCTTCTGAAAGAGAATGTAAACTGGAAAGTGAAAAATAATATATTTTTCAAATAATGATTTCGTATTGATTTGAATGGAATATAAGACTTAATTTTAACCCATTGAATTTAAAAGTCAATCGTTTTTAAGGACGGCTAGATCGGTGTGACACAGAGGACGGCTGGAAGCATATCGGAGATCACTGTTATAAAGTGTTTGACAGTCCGTTGTCATGGGATGATGCAAGGTAGAGAGAGAGAAAAAGAGAGAGAGAGAGAGATTTAAGACTTATTAAATTTAAGATGTAATTAGATTTTTTTCATTATGTATGTTTTTTGTATTCAAAAAATGCACAGTTGTTTCCAATGTTAAATTTTAGATTTTTTTGACACAAAATCCGTGAAGTAGAATTACAATATTTGTTAGCAAAGATATACTGCTTTTGAAATTTAGCACTATTATTCATGATTTGGCAGGCAATTTTCCTATGAATTTATACAGTAATAGGTTACTTTATGATTCATTGTTAAAAAAAAACACACACACAAATCAGTGGGTACATTTAAGATTCCGTTGCTTTCCTTTGCTTAGTTTTTACTTCCAAAGATATCACAGAGTCAGACACATCTGTTTCATACTTGGATATTTTACTTGAAAAAGACGTTAATGGTAATCTAACAACCAAGCTCTATGATAAACGTGATGACTTTAACTTTTCTATCGTCAACTTGCCTTACTTATGCAGCAATATAATTTCATTACCTGGATACGGCGTTTATATATCTCAGTAATGATTCGATACGCAAGAGTATGCTCTACGTATGAACAATTCCTATATCAGCTGTCTCGTTTCAAGTCATCGTTTCGAAAGTTCTATGGTCGATACAATGACCTTGTCAGCAAATACAATTTATCATTAAGTCAAATGCTGACTGACATTTTTCATACCAATTGTTAATCCATTATTTATACACTGAATTGACGACGGATTTTTCCGTTATTTCCTGACCATGACAAGGAGCACACGGCTGGTGTGACCTATCGTCAGAGGATGTTCAATCCTCCATTGCACCTGATCCCACCTCTGATGTTTTGGAGGTCCGTGTTTGCTCTGCTCCTGTTTTGTATTGTTTTATGGACTTTGATATTGAATACTGATCGTAATCTCCATATCATTCATTCCAGGAAATCGTTGAATATATTTGTTATTAACATCCATTTTATTGGATAATAATGCAAGAAAGAGAAGTTATATGCATTAAACTAAAGCGAATATGAATATCTGGTTTAAATGAGCAAGGTGAAGAAAGCAGCAGAAAAATCTTATAAAGTTATTCATATACTGGGAGTATATTAAAATTGTAACATCTATTGTAATAATTTCATATATTTTCCCTAATTGATAGAAATATTGGAAATCAGTGGCTTAATTGGACTATGAAAACAATTGGTTATAGAAGCGCTTTCCTAAGTAATTATTGTTAATTGTCCTGGATTGTTCAAGTCTGAATGAAAATGACTACAGAATACACTGAACAATGTTAACAAAGAGATATCTAGAATAGATGATTCAGCTACCCGTATTCACAAAGTGGGTTTTTTGGTTTCTTTTGATCCTTGTAATTAGCATAAGTCACTTCATATTGCCCTTATTACTCACATTCATGAACTTACATAGAGGACCCGACAGACAAGAAATCCCCTGATAACATCATGTCAAAAAATTGCGTATTATAAATGTGACTATCTAGCTATAATGATATTGTTAAGATAAATGTTTTAATTCATTTCCATTCATAAAAAAATTGAGCAGACTTTGTTTTACTTAACTCTACAGGCAATTTCTTTCATTAATTTTTATTGCATACTTTTTTTTCCATTGGCTTATATAATTTATAAACAAAATTTTTCTCCATAGTCAAAAGGGAAGTATTGCTTTCAGTATGGTAACATTTAGTTTTATATTCTCCCTTTTATTATAATGTTAATAACGTGTGAATTTGTGACTAGTTAAAAGATACCAGATTTTGAATCTCTGAAAATAATTTTATTAATAAATTATAAATAATAAATTATTCTAAGTTTGGATTTTGAATGTCGAATGAGCCTTCCAACCTTTTCTTACTACAAGTATATATATATAAATAATCTATCAATGATTTATTTACAGTGAATTCTGCAGAATAAGACAAGACGCCAGCCTACCCATTATTAACAATCCTAATATTCAATCATCTATGAATCATCTAGCTGTAGAAGAGAAATCAGATTTGTGGACAGGACTGAGATATTCCGGTGGGGTAAGAAAAGAGCGTGATCCTTGAATGCTTTGTTCATTAGTAAATTACAGATTTATATACAATACAGCATGAGTTCCTTCTTAATGTAAGTATTTTTTTTTTAATTTCAGAAATGGTTTGATTCAAAAAATAGTGAGATTATTATCCCAAATTCCTATTGGCACCGACTCTTTAAAATTCCAAGGTATTTCTTAAAACTCTTTATTATGCTTCGTGTATGTCAATCACTTTTTACTCATGAAATTTAAAACATATATATATAATTCATTATACGAATTCAAAATATTTTTACAAGTTCTATTTAATAGGCTCCAATACAGTAAAATTACACATCAGTGTTATTTTGTAGATCAGGAAATGATTCGTGTATATTGCTGAAACAACCAGATAACAGAACAGCCTCTGTACACGGGAACTGGGTCCCAATCAGCTGTCATCTGCAAAAGAACTTTGTCTGCTCAAAACCAGAAGGTACACTTTCGCAGACTGGGCGATTTCTTTCAGATTATAATCCTTCAAAGATTCACATGTAAATATTTTAAGCAATCACAAGTGAGAGATAAGTTAACCACTTTGCTGTACAGACCACTTCATTCAATACAATGTCCTTGCTAGGTAGCAAGTAAGATTTTTACTTACACACGCACAAAGATATATATTTAGTGAAAACATATGATTTATGATTGTAGGACTTTGTCCTGGAGGATGGTATTATCATCAAAAAAGATGTTTTAAATATGTAGACGACTTGCAAACATCAATACTTAATGCTAAAAGTACATGCAGAAGACTAAATTCTAATCTTCTAGAGATCAAAAGGTACAGTTATTTTATTTTTATCTGTTCTTTATTTATATACGATAAAATCATACATATCTTCTTTTCATGAATTCATGAAATTTAGCTAGGCATAAAATATAGACAAGGGGATATAAAAAATGCACAATGGTTTGATTCTTTTAAAAAAAATCCATCTCATTTTTCTCTATTGAAGTTTTAATATCTAAAATATTGAAAAGGATGATAATCCATGTATGTCTATTTTCTTTTCTGATATAGGTAAAGCAACAACAAAAAATTCCACTTTTCTCTAATGAAGTTTTTACATCTAAAATAATTTTTGGCATTTTATTCTGCAAAAAATTTAACTGTTTTTCACAGTGTCTTTTATTAATTTTCAATCGAAAATTGAAAATGATATCCACTGGCAGGTAATCATTTTTAACTTTAAACTTACAAAAGACAATGGGATGACATATGAAATAACTTAGCAATGCTGATGATAATATCTGACCCTCGTAAGGATCATGCAAGTTTTTCTTTAAACCAAACATACTTTCAGAGAAATTTATTTTCAAAAATCCATGAACAATGTAAGCTTTTTACAGAACAAACAATTTCTAAACTTGAAAGAGGTGGAATTGGGAACGATGGGTCACAAATTTTATTGTTTGATCGTGTACCTTTGTTTTCAAATTCACATGTATAAATAATGTATTTCAAAAACAATTAGTTGAAAAACGCAATTCAAATGACTCAACGATGAATTGTATTTGCTGACAAGGCCATTGTATCGACCATAGAACGTTCGAAAGTATGACACACTTTCAAATTTTATTTTCAGCGAGGAAGATGTAAGCTTTTTACAACAATTTCTAGAACTTGAAAGAACTGGCATTGGGAATGATGGGAAATTTTGGCTTAATTTAATTCGTAAGTACTTCTACTTTCAAAAAGAACAAAAAGGAGATCGTTCATTTCAAAATCACAGGGTAATATGAATTTAAGAAATAAAATTAAAATTTTATATTTCTATACATGTTAAAGGATGTATGTGGTAACAAACTGTTTAAATATGGTTAATCTTGTACGTTATAATGAATTTTGTCATTACGAGTTCCGTTATTTCGTAGAAACTTATTTCATTTTCTAAATGAAAAAAGGTTATAATATCATTACATGTTTTGATGTCGTTTCTCAAATAATTATTCACAAATTTGTAATACATTAATGTTATTAACATGCAATTCTTTTGAGTGTGAAAATTAAGAAACATTTGCAAAATAAGACCCAGTGAGAGTTTGTATTTGCTAACAAGGAAAACTGTTGAAATCCATTTTCTGAGCTGTCTGCCTCGGTTTAAAATTGTTTTTGAAGATTTCGATATCATATGCAGAGGATAGTGGATTATTATTACATAAATTAGGAAAAACTGACGATGGCAAAGATTATACTGGATACCTAGTTTTCATACAATTCAGTCAAGTTGGTCCTTGTCTGCTATAGTCAGTTCAATATCAAAATATAAAACAGAAATGTCAGACTGTGTGTTGTACATGTATTTTATTTTAAATGATACTAGTAATCGAAAATGCCTCTAAAACGATGATAAAAATTTTAAATTGGACAATAACTGAATCAACAAATTAGGGTTTACACACATTGTGAAATGCATGAATATTTTGAATTGGGTTTCAAGTGGGATAATTTTCATACCTGTTGAGTATTTCAGGTGACGATGACTCGCTGGCAAACCCTTGGGTGTGGGTTTGGGATTCATACGGAAATCCGGAACTAGAATTTACCAAGTTTCCAAAGAACAGCATTTCTTTAGGAGAGTGTGCTTATGTGGATATAGGTTCGTCTTCTTGATCACTTCTATTTTTGTATAGCTATTGTTTAAAACTAAAGAGTTGAATGGTGGCAAAATTTTCAGAATGAAAGATAAATTGTCAACAGTACCGTAACTAAAGCAAAATTTATTTTGAATTTAAATAATTTTAGGGTTATTAATTATAGTTATATACCTGTAGTACTGAAGCTTACCAATATCATCATTTGTAGCATGTAAAATATTTTGAGTATTTAAATGGGTATTGCATCTGCTACGTGATAGATTGAGCTGAAATTATTTCATCTTAGATAGGAATGGCACTTGGTTCACTGATAAATTGTGTTCAGCGGAACTAAGTGTTGTCTGCTACCTTACCGTGGGATCCATAGAATGGATAAAGAATATGAATAAAAATCTTCGCCTAGGTATGTAATAATTCTTATTATAAAGATTGCTTTAAAGAGAGTCCTAAAAATACACATGTAACTTGGAAGAAATTTTCAAATACAAGCAATAAATATACAGAATATTGAATAAAATAGAATTACATGTAAATGAATTGCAAATCTCAAATTTTAACTCAATTTTTTAATTTGAAATAATTCTGGACACCAGCATTTACCCCACCCCAAAAAAGGAAACGAAAGAAAATGAAAGAGAGATATTTGTCTTGTGTACCTTCATAACATATTATTAAGTGAGGGAGATACAATGTAACAATAAAAGCTTAAATAAGGCTACACTTGAACATTCAGTTCTTAAGGAAGAAAACTAATACTAAAAAGCGAAGTGAATTGTGAGAATATTACTTCCAAAAATAGCATAAGGATATTTTCGAATTTTAATTTTTTTTAAATCATTTTGAAGAAAATGTACATGTATCGCCTATCTCTGCCAATGTTAATTATTTCTGTTTCCTCTAATAAAACTTATTCAACACATTCTATATATTTCCAATAAAAGCTAAAATAAGGCTACCCTTGAACATTAAATTCTTGAGCAAGAAAACTAAATATACTAAAAAGCGTAGGTAGTGAATTGTGAGAATTTTCCAGAACTAGAATAAGGATTTTTTTTTTTTTTTACAAAAATCCTTATGAAAAAAAATGTATTGCATATCTCTACCAATGTTAATTACTTCTGTTTTCTCTGGTTTCTGTTTTCTCTAGCAAACTTAATTTACTCATTACCCATGAAACAGGTCTGGGCAGCTAAATGGAGTCTCAATTCGTTTATATTTTAGTAGGAAAAGGGATTGTTCTGTCTGTCTCATCCGATAATTATAATATTTTGAAGATTTCAATTATGGCTTCTCCGAGTGCGGAAAAGGCTGGGTTGATGATAGCAGGTCATCGTGTTTTTATTTCATCTCCAAACTGTTAACCTGGTCGTCTGCCGAGTATGAATGTCGGAAAAGGGGAGCTCATTTGATCAGCATTGATGACGCAGAGGAGCAGGCATTTATAACTGGTCAGTTACAATCAATAAATTTTCAAGATTGTTTTCAGTAGAAATCATCTGAATATAGGTACAGAGTTACTTATCACACTTAACACGCATGCAAATAAATTTACACCAAAATGTGTAATAGCAATGTTTTTCTGTTCTGCATGGTAACGAGGGCGAAAAGGCGAAAATAATAAGTGGAGTGAATTGTTTTCTGTGTGCAGTAATATATAATTAAAATTTGACTTATATTTCCTTTTACTAATATAATAGGCGTTTTAAAGTCGATTGACGTTGGTGGTTCGGTGTGGATAGGTGCTAATTCTCGCACCGAAGGAGTCGGATTTCAGTGGACCGATGGTGACCCTTTTGTCTTTTACAACTGGTTTCCAGGTGAACCTAGTTTTAATTACAACAAATTTCAATAGAAATGTTTAATGCTTACATGTTATGAAGTAAATATTGAAGAGAGAGAGAGAGAGAGAGAGAGAGAGAGAGAGATAGAGAGAGAGAGAGAGAGAGAGAGAGAACCTTAAAGTAAAAAGGTAATGTGAAGAAAAAAGTATAATAAAGAATCGGGCGGGGACCTACTGACATATTAATGCTTGTTAACAATACCAGCCAAGTGTAATCTTAACTTTTGATATTTTAAGGCGAACCAGAGAGTCAGTTGGAGGGTGATGAAGAATGTGTCGCCATGTTTATTTCAAACTCGCTTTGGACAGACAACTCGTGTCAACAATTACACTCTGCTGTTTGTGAGAAGACGAGTTAGTGTAACAATTCTACACTTTCATGTATAGTCTCTGACTGCAACTGATTATGATTTCACACATATCCAAAGAAAGAAGACATGTTGAACTATATAGATCTATGACAGATAAGTACACGAACTAATTTGACTAGTTTTATTTTTTATAAAGTTTTATAATTTTCATAATTTTTAAAGGACCATCAAAGGAAAAGAAGAAGCCATCTAAAACTGCCAAAGGTAATCAAAATTCTTGGATCCTTAAATAAACTACATGCATGTATTAAAGATAAATTGGCTATATGATTTCGTATGCTACTCTTAAGGAATGAAAAAGACAAAAAAAAATGCATTACTTTAGTTGAAGGAAATTGTTCTCCTGGATGGATACCGTACAGGGATAGCTGCTTTTTAGTCAAGGAGAAAAGAACAACATGGGACCAAGCCAGTGCCCTTTGCCGCCAACAAAACGCGCATCTTGCCTCCATTTTAGACGAAAATGAGCAGAATCTGGTGTTCAGCCAGCTTCCACGAGGTTTGTTAAAAATTGGTTGTATAACATGTTTCATATTTTCACCTCCTAACCAATGTAGAACTAAATAAATGGCTCATATACATCACATGTCATTTAGGAAACAACCTATAAAGATTAAAAAGAACCTTAATTCTAACTCTAAATGCGAGGTCATGTCAGAAATTTTTTACAGAACAGAATATATTTGCTTTTATTCTTTTTTGCAAAATATTCGTTAATTAAGTTGTCTTCATAAATTTGCTATAACATTGTTATATAAGCTTTTAGACTTAAAAGGAAGAGAGGCATCATATTGATTTAAGAAAAAAAATATTATCAAACCTGATAGTTTTAGGCTATTCATCGCGGATGTAGTGTTTCATATTTTATTTTATACAAGCTATTCCATCATCATCATCATCATCGTCATCACCATATGGATATTGGATTGGTCTCCGAGACAGAAAACGGAACACTTTTCAATGGGATGACAATAGGGATGTTACATTCGCAAGGTGGCAGAGAAATGAGCCGCAGGGGTTTACTGTATATAAGCAAGGATGTACATATATAAGTTTTGAAGTAAGCGGAATAATGAGTAAAAATTCTATAGTGCTTTTTTATGTAAGTAAAATTAAATTTATATTGATCTTGTCTCTCCTTGTATTGTAGAAAGGACTGTGGGGCGATGCAATATGTGATATGACTAGGCCAGGATTTGTATGTAGATCCGAAAAGCAGTCAAACGTAACAAAAAACATGTCGCCCCTATCGGTTGGATGTAAAAAGGTTGGGTTTAAAACGTAATTATTTCAATAAAAGTTAATTGAAAAAACTTAATTTTATTTTAGTTTTGAATAATAAATAAAGACATAATATAAGTTCATTTCGTTTTTAACAGGATGCTGTTGGATTAGATAACCTGTGTTATAACATATTTGAATCGCCAAAGACGTGGAACGACTCAGAATCGGCGTGTTTGTCAGATGGTGGACATCTAGCAACAGTAGACTCATTGTACGTTTGACAAACAGTTCGCGTTTTTGTAAAATAACATAGAACTTGAAATATCTAGTTTAAAGAATATAATATAAGAAAAGAATATTCAGGCTTTCAGTGTAACATTTATAAAAAGAAAAATATCTTAAATATCCTTTTTCTCACTTGAAAAAAATCCCAATGATTTCTGATTATTTGACATTTAATCGTAAGTAGATACAACGACGCAGTAATAGTGCATGCATTTAGTTAAAAGGAATCTTTGCGGTTTTTAATGGAGATGAATTCTAACTTTCATTTTGTAACGCACATACTTTATGAAAATTAACAAAATTTTGATGTTTCTTTACTATGTCTTCCTTTGAGAAAAGCAAAAAAAAAATGTTGACAGAATTTACATTGATTTTCACAGGCGTGTGATGGCATTTCTTAATAGTCAACTTTTGGAAAAGGACATCAAGGTCCAAATTTGGACTGGGTTTACGGAGAGTTCAAATTTTAGACATTGGTCAAGTGGAAAAACTATTCGAACACAACCACAGTTTGACGCTGGTAATATCTGTTTTAAATGTATATTATCATCCCTGTGATATAAGTGATACAGTCTTTTTTTTTTATTCTTAAATGCTTACAATTTCTGACATCAAAATAGTGATAGAGCCTTTATATCTGGATGAGTACCAGTCTATTATGTCAAGGATGCCAAATTCTTTTCTTCTTCTCAAAATTATCATAGAACAATTAGTTAGTAATAATTTTTACATTTTTTTTTTTTTACATTTTTTTAAATACATCTTTTAAGACTTGAAGAAATTTTAAATGTAAGTAAGATTAATTATAATAGATTGAAGTTATAAATATATCCAGAAAAAATATGATTTCCAAACGAACTACAAATATGTAAGTTTTTAAAAGCTTTCAATCAAGGTACAGATTTGAGTCAAAAATCCTTAAAAAGTGTTTCTTTTCTCTCTAATTTTACCATTCCGTATCTTTATCTGACTACATTACCATATGTGGTAATGAGAAAAATCATCTGACCTTGTCTCTAATATAAAACAGTCAAATTTAATTTAACTGATATCATCACTAGGTGATTTTGTCTTCTTGATTCTATGGAAAATTCATTAATTTTTAAATATAAGAAGTATATAACGAAATAAGTTACTTCTAATATACTAATAGATTTATAATATATTTCATGATTAAAAATGATCCTTAATTTGTAAACTGAAAATATTAAAAGTTGTTCGTGCGCCATATTTAGTGGCAACCTGCGATTTCTACCATTTTTAACGAAATACTTATCTATATATCTATCCATTTTTCTTTCTGGATGAATCTCCATGTTATGAAAATATTAAAATTAAATTGGGTTTCTTGCCAGAGAAAGAATCGATTCAATATTTATTCAAATCATACACCTAAACTACAGTTTCATTAATTTCTTTTTTAATTTACTTTAACAATCGCTTAGAATATACCGGTATTACAGAAAATATCTTTGCAGGATTTTCCCTGCGAATTAGCAATCATAGAGACTATCTATGACTTGACCAAGGCAAAAATATATGGACAAAAGTCTACGAAATGAATGACCCCAGTATACTTTCATTTTCCAAAGTTTTCAGCAATAATCTAACTGTATAATTTTTTTTGTTTTGTTTTCAGTGAATATTTCATTCTGAACCCATTGTTTTACTTTTAACTCGAGCTTGTTCAAATGCTTAATCCTAGACACCTAGGTGTACTTATGTCCAACTTTACCTTATGCCAAAAGAATTGGTTTTTCATTTTATGTGTTATATTTTTAAAATTTAAATATTTTTCAGCATTGTTCCATTATGTTCCTTTCAAGTGAACCATTTGTAATAAGTTATACATTTTAGGTCTTAACGCAACAAGAAGATGTGGTACCTATAACCCATTGGAAAATGCCATGAACACGATAAATTGCAATGAAAATCATTTTTTCATTTGCGAAAAACTAAGGGAAGGATATAATATCTCATCTCCAAGCAACACAACAGAATCTGAAATAAAATCTGATGAAAAATGTTCTCCAGGCTGGTATAAGCATAATATGAGCTGTTTTAAGGTAGGAAAACGCATAAACTAAAAAAAAATAAAATTTATCATTTGTAAATAATTTCAATCGCTGTCAAAACATATAACTAAAATAGAAAGCTTATGTAAACTTTATGAGGAAACTAAAGGATATTATGAAGGACCAGTAAGGTAAATCTTTTTTGCAATCAATTTCAGGAGTTTTTAGAAAAATTGTCTTGGACTGAGGCAAGGAGAAAATGTAGAAGTATTGGAGCTCGTCTTACTACTATTGAAGATGCGACTGCCTCTTCATTTGTATACGAGAAATTTAAAGGGTAAATTATGCGTGTTTATCATGTATCTTGGGGAGGGGGATAGGATGAGACGAATATTCACTATTATATTCTTTTCTTCATCTCCCTATCCAAATAGCTCAATTGAGCGATGTTGCCCATGGACCTATTGTTTAAAAAGATTTAACCATTAATAACGTGTTTGCATATTGATATTTTAGCATAATGAATTCTAACTGGTGGATAGGATTAAATAGCAGAGATATGACAAAGAGTAAGTGCTATGTATTGTCTTCCATAAAACCAAAGCTTTGATAATTATGTATCATCAGCTTGAATACTAGTCTATGATCAGTTGTGTGGTTTAGAAATGCAATTTTAATATGGCGATGTATAAAATTAAATAAATAAATTAACTCACTGAGAATTATTGTGACCCAGGTGAGACTTGCAGAAAATGGGCAAACACCTGTGCATCATGGCACTGGTCTGATAATGATGAGGACCCGTCCTTTCGTGATTGGGAATTGGGTGAACCAAATAATTTTATGAGAGTAGAACGCTGTGTCGTGATGACTAAATCAAATGGAAAATTCAATGACTACCAGTGCTCAGTTCCTAGTCCATTTATATGCGAAGCACGACTGGGTATGATTGATTTAATGCTTTCCTAATGCTTTTAGTCATTTTCATCCAAGTAAATTCGTTTTGAATGTAATTTAAAATTAAAATCAAAATTGTTGAATTATTGTATAACAATATTTCAGGATCGAAGATATTAGAAAATGGGGAATCTCAAACAGATTTACCTGGTTAGTTTGTTTAGAACAGCAGTTTATCTAAGTGGTAAACATTTTGCTAGCAATCATCTTCATGCAGCACTAGCAATTAAATGCTGTACCTTCTTCATGATTAATAAATGCAGCTTTTCTCTTTGAAAAAGTCTTTTTCCTATAATATTAGGTACATGTATTGGTAACTCTGACATTGTGTACTGACATACTTTACAAAAAAAAATCTCGGTCTCTTCAATAGGTTCATCAAAGAAAATTATTTGCAGATATAAATATTAATATTTGATAGCGAGATATCTCAATTTATAAGATAAATATGTTGAATGAACCAGTTTTCAATTTACCAAATGCACATTAATAAAATAATACACAGTGTATATATACCGATAATTCAGGAGGCAAATTTGTATATTTTTAGATAAATGAAAATCATGTTTTTTTTTTCTTTAAGAAAAATGTGATGGGAATGGTTACCTATATAAGGGTTTTTGCTATACCCTTAGCAGTGCTGAAACATCGTACTTTTCTGCAGAGGGCCACTGTAGAACTCTAGGGGCAGAGCTAGCAAGCATACATAGTCATGATGAATTAGAGTTTATTCTATCTCTCCAAAGGGTAAATGTTCTCATTATAAGGATAAAGGATCGCTAGCTAAATGAACAAAATGAAGCAATTTACTGTTAAAACTATCATTAACCAATAAATTGTTGTTTTTATTTAACCTCTTTCACTTCTTTTTTTATCAGATGAACAATACAGAAGATCTCTGGATTGGTCTAAAAAGAGTTACACACCGCGGTATAAAAAGGTTTCTGTTTTATTTATGTTTGATTACTTTGATTATATGAAAGGATAAAATGTTATTTTTAACGCAAAAAGTAGTGATTTTGATTTCACCGTTTCCTTTTGCTCACAAAAGATGGGAGTGGTCTGACAAATCCCCCGTCGACTTTGTGCTTTGGAAGAAAAATGAGCCAGACAATAGCCAGTTAAATGAGAACTGTGTTGTAATGTCAGGATTTAAAGGTAATATGATGATAAACTTTTTGGGTTTAGGTGTCATAGTGTCACAAAGTCGATGTTATTATCGAATAAATGAGCTTTTCATAACTAGATTGTACAAAATTCATTGATTTAAACATTTTTTTCAAATACCAGGTAAATAATAAAAAATTAAGTCTTTCAAATATTTATCCTTTGAACATGTAGTATTAAACGATTAAGTTATATTTACGCCCATTTGTATAAAGTTTGCTGTTGTTGGTTTCAAAATTAGAAAAAAAAAGATATGAAAACAAAATTTTGAAAAACTATAACTTGATGACTATCTTTCTTGTTGTCTTTCTCTATGATCGTTATTTAATAATAATTCAATTTAAGTTGTAACACGCCATTTGATTGGTTAAAAATTTCATTGATTTTGTTTAAAATAAATAATTAATAAATTAAGTCTTTCTATTATATAAATTGAATATGTACTATTAAATGATTAAGTTAAATTTACGTCCATTTGTATAAAATTTGTTGTTGTTGGTTTCAAAATTAGAAAAAAAAAGATTTGAAAACAAAATTTAAAATAATTATAACTTGATGATGTTTATCCTTTTAAAAACTTTCCCTACAATCATTTTTAAATAATGATCTTCTTTTTTTGGTCTATAACCATCACATGATATACCTTACCTGTTTTCCTTGTGTATAATCATTTTATGTTAATTATGTTGTTTCTTTTCTGTCTTTTTAACAGGTTTTTGGGATGATAACCCTTGTCTTGAACAAAATGGATTCGTTTGCAAAAAAAGAAATTCGCCCATTAAATTAAATGATTCCAGAGTAAACAAAAAAGTTTTTCAAGGCGGATGTTCAAAAAATTACACTTCATCGCCTTTTAGTAAGTAATTTTACTTAAATTTAAGTAAGGAAAAGTGATTGATGAAACAAAATGACGCAAAACGGGATTTAAAATATACTCGTACATGGCCCTGAAAACACAAATCAATTCTTTAAATTACATTGATTTTGAAAAAGTAGATCACAGTACTTTAGAAAAAAATACTTTTCTTGGACCTTAATGTACGCATGTGCAGAAAGAAAATGAATATATATATACTACCTTTCAGACAATAAATGTTATAAATACAGTACAAGCAAACTGCCTTGGAGAGAAGCTAAAAGCATGTGTAAATTTGGAGGGGGCTCTTTGTTGTCGATCCAAAACCAACTTGAACAAGGTAATTGAAGTATCAGTGTGGATTTTATCCTGTAATAAAATTTTCCAGATTTAATTCTGATTTCAATTATTTTTTGATAGATTTTGTCGTAAGTATGTTGGATTCAGCGTTAAGCAATGTATGGATTGGACTTAATAGACTACACAGAGAAACATACATGTACAAAGACAATGTATCAATAGGGTATACAAACTGGGAGACTGACCAGCCGAGCAATCCTTACTATCCAACATACGGTTCGGCTCAGGTAACAAAATAATTCAATAAATTGTTTTTGGTTTGATTACATCCTCTTCTATTTGTCTCACTTTGAATGCAAAAGCAAAAACATGGCTTCAACAATTAAAGTTAATACATTTGTACAGCATGATTGTGTTCAGATGAATCACTTGGACGATAATAAAGGTATAGGGAGGTGGAGTACAAAGAATTGCGGTTATCCACCAGAATCATTCATTTGTGAAAAACCAAAAGGTAAGAAATATATTTCTGTCTTCTACGAGATGAAAATCTCAAAGTGCACCCAAACACCTAATTACGAGGGGGTATCAAAAAGTTCTATAGACTAGTCCCATAAAATCAAAAGCGCATTAGGTACATCAATGAATATTGAAATATCTAGTTAGCATCATTTTTTCTATCTATAGAATAAACCAAAAATCATAAATTTTATTTTTTAATAAATTAGTAATGTTTTTGTAAGCAATGGAATGTTCAGGCGGCGCAACCTCGATAACGACCTAAGTGTAACTGAATAAAAACTATTTTGATATGAACATTTGACATCAAAAAATCCCGTTAATTCAGGTATGTTTTGGGCACTACTAGTATTGTTCCATAAAATATGGAATTTTTACCTCATTCTGGAAGTTCCATGAAATTTTATCGTTAATTTTACATGGAGTATCCACACAAATATTGCTTGAAAATGACGTCAAAAGGGGGGAGGGGTATAAAATTAAAACATTTTATAAAGTTTTTTTTTTTTTAAAGGGTATAGACATTGGAAATGTTTAAACAGGCTACGGAGAAATAATATGCATCCAGAGAACATGTTCTTTTTAAATGCCAAATAGATTCAGAGAGAAAAGGAATGCACAGTTAATGTCGATTTGTAGTTAAGGTGTGAAAAATCAATCACGTCAAAAAATGACGTTGATCATGTGTTGTAGATATTGAACTCCAAAAAGCGGAAAAAGCTGGAACCATCAAGCGAGGATCTTTCCCATTGTATAAATTCATTTGCAATATTATATGCATTAAAAGCCGCTGTTCATGACATTGTAAAATCATATAAATAAGACGGATTGAATTCTTACTCAGCTCCAGAGAATCTCATCAAATTACGTGTATGGGGTAGAAGAAGCAGACATTGAAAAACAATGACGTTGTCGGACGTCATAAAACTAAATGGCGCCGGCGCCGGTGATGATATAATTTCGTTTTTATTATATAATAATTTTTGGAAATAATGGACGTATCAAGCTAGAATTTTAAACATTTCTTTATTTTTTGTTGTTTATGTTCCTTATAAATTTTGTAAGCTCAGACTACACAGTACTAATTTTATAGCCTCAGTCCACGAACTTTTTGATAACCCCTCGTAAGTTAATCTTTTGGACAACAAAACCTTGTGATGTTTAAATTTTCAGATCCTTCGATAGAATTCAAGCCTTCCCCATCTGAATGCCCTCCTATGTTTGAGCAATACTTAAGAAGCTGCTTTAGATTTGAAGTTGGTCCAGTTGATCAAAGCGAAGCCCAGAAAATATGTGAACAAAGAAAAGGAAATCTAGCGTCAATTACATCTCCATATGAATATGGGTTTTCTCGTGGTATTGCCGCAAAACAAAATTTTACTGTTTATTGGATAGGACTCGAAAAAACAAAGGTTGGTGTATAATGCATACATATTTAATTAATACATAGCAACCGTCTGGAATGCCTACATATTTCATTATTATTAAATAGCAACCATCTGAAATGCCTGGGTATCTTAAGTGATAATTAATGACAACGGGGTTTCTTTCTTATAAAATATAACAGCAATATAAAGAGGATTTTAAGATTCTCTTTTCACGGTCTAAAATTCCGTTCATTCTCTCTCACTTATCGAAAAATGTTTTAAGTATGATATATATAATTTTTTTAATGATGAGAAAACTATGTATTGCTAGATAAAATATTGAAAAGCACCCACAGTTTGTTGTTGTGTATGGGAAGGGTGTAATTTTGCACAACACAGTATATAGATTGATGGAGAAAATATTACACAGAGAAACAAATCTGGAAAATCAAACCATACAGGATAACCAAAATTCTTGATGATTCAAAGAAGCATTGATGCTGTCTGTTGTTTTTTGATGTGACCGATAAAAGCATAAAATTAATGCAATATTTTCTTTTAACTTTAAATTACCGGTATATATAACTTTTTGAAAATCACAGGACGCAGCTTTGTATAGATGGAATGATGGAACACCATACCAGTTCAGCCATTGGAATGATTCAGAACCATCTCAGGAACCAAACGAAGATTGCGTTGTATCAAGAGATGGAAATTGGATGGATGTGCCATGCACAGAAAAGCACTCTTTTCTCTGTGAAATAAATCTTGGTAGGTGCAAGCAGTAAGTTGTTTTTAAACCAGAATTTCGCTAAAAAATATGTTTTCTTTACTATAAGTATCAGATCATCGTCATCAAAGTCATTTTGTAAGACGTTTTAAAAAATATAACGGTTTTCGTTTATCCATGAATCGATCAATTATTGTAATATGAAAAGTATATAAGAGATATACAGGCATATATTAATCGAAATGGCAGATGTTTAAAAACTAAAGTGCACAATGGTATTTTGAGGCGGTATATAACAAAATATTTTATTCTATTTATAATTCCACAAGATAAAATGAAAGGTACACGACCAGCACCTTCGTGTATGCCCACGGGAATAGCCTATGACGGCGCGTGTTATTTCATAGAAAGAAAGGATAGAAGCACGTGGAAGGATGCTCTCCAGAAATGTAGGAAATATGGAATGGACTTAGTTTCAATCCAGACAGTGGCCGAGTTGGAGGTAGTTCGGGAATTCATTGTAAGGAGAGCAAAGGAAAACGTTTGGATTGGGTTCACTAATGCTAGAAAAGAATCAGATCTGTTTCAAAGTGGTTAGTACAACTTGACTCTTTTCAAGAGAAAACAAATTTGTTCTGTATATACATATTATTATTTTGCTATTTTACGCAGGATTATTTTGGTTTGTTTTTGTTCTATCGCACTTACAAATGATTTTGGCTAGCAGTAAGGTTGGGATAGCCGCCCCTTGGCCAGAAAGGATAACTTTTAAATTTATTATTTCAAGAAGTCATGTGAAAAATTGGAAAGTGTATTCTGAAAGCAATAGAGTGTAATACATTTTTAAAGAAATCAAATTTTCTTTGTCTTATATACCATTTTAAAGCATTCTTTTGAAATGGTTGTAAGTAATTTGCAAACTTTTCAATGAGACGCCTCTACTTGCTGATGGACAGTGTTTTATTAAACAATTGAATTAGAAAGAACTAAAAAACATTCTGCACGTTTTTGACACACCTTCAATATATTTCACACTAATCGTATTCAAACAACCAGTCAAACTAGAGGTACAAGCACTTTTTGATATAAAGAAGTAATTTGCAATTATAACACATGTTTTTACAGTGTTTTGAAAAACATGAATGAATATAATGGCAAGATTTCCATGTTTGCTATACGAAACTCAAAATATGTATACCGGATTGAAAAGTAAAATGAAGGGCCTGTGTGCATATTTTTTATGCCTATATATTATGTACACAAAGATTCTGATGAAAAAAAGTTTCATCAAATTTTTTCATTTTTCATGAATAATGCAAAAATTTATATAATTTGATACCTTTTCAAAACCCCTGGTAACGCATGCTGATTTTTTTCTCTAAGTACATGTAATGGTATTATCATTTTGAATTCAGAATATCTTGAAAAATTATCAGTAGGTGAGGTACCTTGCATATGTCCTTAAAATGCAATTAACACAATTTTTCTGTACATTTCAAACAAAACGTATTTAAACAATCAATCAAATCACACACTTTAATAAAACATATGAATTATGTAATTACATCCAGTGTGTTGATTGGTTCGGTTACAGGGGTTTATTGGTACTGGTCCGATGGAGAGGAAGCAAACTTTACAAACTGGCGAATAAATGAACCCAATGCAGGAATACTATCGAATACTGAAGAATGCGCAGAAATGGATCATAAAGGACTCTGGAATGATCTAGCGTGTACACATAAGAAAGCCTTTATGTGTAAAAATAATGGTAAAGAATTTATCGTTGATTAATCAAACACAGCGTTTTAAAAATTATGCATGATTGGTATTTTCAAAGTGTTGGTAGTTAATATGCATGTAACTTTCCGTGGTAACTCATGAAATTATGGAGTCAGTCACTTATATAAACATTTATTTTTCTATTTAGGATCTAAGATAGATTTAAAAATGAAAGTCGAAGTATCAACGGAGATACCAACAAGAAAATCTGCACAAAATGCAATTAATTCCCACAGCAATGCAGGTAACTAATTGAGAACATTGCGAATTTACCTCAAACTCAGATTTCTGTCGTTCATTTTAGTCATATTGCCAAACAAGTTATAGTAATGGTTCAAGACTTGTAATATAAATGTTTTTTTTACTTGTCATCAGTTGGCTTTAGATATATAGATATATTTAGAAACTTAGATGTAATGCACCTTTAAAAAATATACCGGTACTATAGACACCATGTTTATAAGAATGTTCCTCGTTCGGTGGAATGCAATGAATGTCTTCGGAGACCTCTCTAAACAAACTTTTATTACGAGACAGTCATACCTTACCGGACACTATAAACAGACGGATGGCGACAGTAGTTTATACAGTTCGTTGGTGAAAAAATTTCTGAGCTCTTGTGATCAATGTTTAATGCGAATAAAACGGTTAAAAAACGGTTCGAGTAACAACCTATGACGTAAACTAAACAAACAGGTAATGGACTTCACATTGTTGTAATAAATGATCACAGCTGAAACGCATATGCGCAAAGCGAAATTAATGAACGTTTTTCGAACGTTAAGAGTAACAATATTTCGTTCGGTGTCCAGAATATCGGTTTTTTTGTTTGTTTGTTTTATTGTTGTTGATGTTGTTTTCCCATTTCACGTCTAACATTTGTCCAGTTGTGATTCTGATCTAACGAGTTTAACAAAAGTAGGCCAGTCAAGACCAGGAAGAGAAGGCCATGAGCTTCCTTCACGGGCAAAGCATGAATACTGTACTTTGTACGGACCTTTCGTATTTTTAGCAGCGCCTTTGCTCGGTGATGTCTGTTCCAAGAAATATTCCGCCAGAAACAAAAAACGAATTTCCATACATATTTCTTTTATCGAATGAGGAATAGAAAAGAAATGGATTTATTATTATTCGATTTCTTCAGTGATATGTGACTAAAACCTCCTTTATGTCTTTTTGTTGCTGAAGTGAATTAAAACGCTAAGGATTTTGATAATCATCTGCTATTGTAATTATCCATTTGTCTTTTGTAGAATCGACGACACCGGTTGGGGTAATAGTGGGTGTCGTGATAGGCCTATTGGCGGTCCTCGTACTCGTATCAGCTGTTGTGTTTATTTTATACAGAAGACGCCACAGACCTTTCTTCAGACAACACCTTGGGTTTTCAAATGCTTTGTTCCAAAGTGGCCATGAACAATTGACATAATTTAAAAATACTCACCGTAGTGTATGATACGGTCTTTTTATATACTCTAATAATGGTTTAAACTTTTAGAAGACTATTAAAGATAATCTAGTATCTTTTGTGTAAAGTAAATCTTGGCTCAAGTCAGGATCTTTTTGTTTTACATAAATGTTGTGGAAGTCAAACAGGCCAAAATCAAACTGTTATACTATATCGCTTTAAAAAAGTGTTGTTATCAGCAAAATTAAAATTGATTCAATAAATAATATCTTTCAGGAGATTGAAAATTTTACTTACTGCGAAATACCAACTGTTTCTACGTCTTCTGGTGGGATATACATGTACACGCATTTAAATACTTTTATGTGTATGTATACCTTATTTGAAACAATGAGCCTATTGGTCATATCACTTAATCGAGTTACTATGATCCTACTGTCCTTAATGAGGAGATTAATTTCTGAGTTCATGATTTTGAAAAAAAAAAATGAATTTACATTACTCGAGGAAGCTTCCATATAAATACGACTAATTTCATTCTCTCTACATGTATAGAATCTTATGAGGAACTTTTATCATTGATTCAGGTTGTGTCTCGGCAATACCCGTTTCCGGTCCTGAATTTTGTAAACTTAATGTGCAATATAAAATGAAGCTTTCACCTTGGTTTCATCATTACTGGACAAGTGGGTATTGAGTTGAACGTCTTTTTATGTCGATAGGTTTTCAATCATCCATAGCTATCTTCCCTTGAAAGAGAGTGCAATTCATTTAAACAAGTTTAAATCTCTTCCCCATGAGTTTGCTTTTTGGCACTTTTGATTGAAATTGGCCATCGGTATATATATCATTTTTCTTATTTACATCTCAAACACATGCAGACACCTTTATTATCTTTAGATCTATGCAAAAACTAACTCATATTTCTTGTGATTTTGTATTGAGAGATAAACACTGTCTCTAGTTTTTATATATAAGAATATATATATTTTGCAATACGATATATATATATATATAATATATATATATATATATATATATATATATATATATATATATATATATATATATATATATAAGTAATCAGCAGGCTCTAAGGAAATATTTATACGAGTAAATGTTGTCATGTTATTAATCAGAAGAATATTTATGTACTTGAATATAACAATATTTCAAGCTACTCATAAAGAGTTGCTAATATATGTATACAGTATTCATATTACATGTACATGTTTAAAACAATTGTTCCAAACACAAATCACAACTTAACAAAACGTTGCTCCATGTGTGATGAAATAAATCATGTAACTGAAGATCTTGGTTTGTGTCATATATCTACAGTGTGTGACAGAGTAACCTTGTCTATGGTTATGGCTATGACAATATGTGTTGATATGCTGTTCCATGTCTAAATTACACAAAGGAGAACAAAAACAAATGAGCATACCACTGTCCATCCCTGAACTATAAATTGTGTAGAGTTGGTGGATGGAACAAAAATTGTGAATTTCATGCCCCCCCCCCACCTGGGGATGGGGCCAAAACCACTAAAATTAATGCAATTTTTAAAAATCTTCTTTACTCCTGGACATCAAGCAATCAAACTGTTGGCATGATTGTAATCAGCATTGAGTCCTCAACCAAAATTGTGAAATTCATGGCCCCAGGGTCAGGGGTTCTAGTGCTAGGGTTAGGCTATATAGATTATATTTCTTTGAAAATCTTCTCTGCTCCTGGGTATTAAGTAAGCTAACCAAGTACATAGTTATGTTGAATAAAGCTGCCTCTTCAAAAATTGTGAATTTCATAGCCCCTGGGTCAGGAGTTCTGGTGTTAGGGCGGGGCTTATTGATTATATAGTGAATGTGCATACATTCTTTGAAAATCTTCTTCTCTGCTCCTGAATATTAAACCAATGAACTATGTACATAGTTATAATGAGAAAGGATGCCTCTTCAAAATTTGTGAATATTAGGGCCCCTGGACTTGGGGTTTGGTGTTTTTTTATATATATATATATATATATATATATATATATATATATATATATATATATATATATATATATATATATATATATATATATATATATTATGAGAAAAAAGGTGATTTCAAAAAATGGTTAATTTCATGGCTCCTGAGGAATAGCATTCCTTTTGGGAGGTTGGTTACATAGCCATAAAAAAATTAATCTTTTGAAATTGCTATTTGGTAAATAAAATCAACCATTTTTTTTTTAAATTCAAAATTTATGAAAAAAAAATTTCCAAAATAAAAAAAATTTATTTTAATTAAAAACCACACTTAGCAAAATTGCTTGTGAATCTGTGATAATTTCATTCATTTTTTATGCACAACTGGTTATAAATAAATGCATTTTCTCTTTAAAGAAATGATAAATCTCAATTTACCACTAGGTTTTAAATATCCATATAATTGTGATTGAAATTGGTGCCTCTTACAAAATTGTGAATTTCATGGTCCTCTGGTTTAAAACACGATTTTCTCAAGGGAAAATTGTTTGAAAGTCTGATTCTCGTCACGTGTTGCGCTTTTGATTTACTTTTTAGTCTTTTTATTTCTCATTAGTAGTAGTTTGTGTACAGCTAAATACTTGGTATGACGTAATAGAATACCACAAAAACTTATTTTTATTTACCGAAATAGCAATTTACATCGTGCAAACAACACAGGCGATTGGTTGAGAACTTTTGTAAGGCGGACAGGGGAGAGAACCACACACTGCCTGCACGGTGTAGAACAATCTACCGTTATAGCTGTTCTGTCGAGAACCGGCTGTAGCGTACTCTGGATTCCGATCCAAACACAAAAAGTCGGCGCCATTATGATCTCTGTACTGTGCTTCTGAGGTCAGAAACCCGTCATATTGTTTCACCCAATTTGAAGAACAGGTCAGTTTAGCAGGAATCATAATTGATGACGAAGCATACATGGAATGACACACTGCGCACGGAACGTCATCGTCCATTGCTATGTTGTTGTAGGTAAATTCGTACTCACTTCCATGTATCCGCCCAGAATGCACGTAAGCAGACACACCATAAGGAGCATCCTCCGGATCAAGGGGTAAACAAAGGGTGTTAATGCCGCCACCTACTTCGTTGAAATTTCTACCTCCGGCAATACCTAAATCAAAAATTTACAAAAACTATTAATACAGGTGCTTGACGTTTTTTACCTTGATTTTCACAAATAAAAAAATCCACACTATAGCATTTCATGAATAAAAATTTCTTCATACAATATAGTATAAGGAAATTTTTATTTATGAAAAGAAAGGTTAAAACCGCCAAGCATCTCTGGAATAATATATACATAATAATACTTTCCAAAATTGTTTAAAGATTTTTTTTGCCAGAATGCATAAAACTTGGATTGAAGAAGGGGTTTGGGGTTTTTGTCTCTAAACGTAATTTTAAATTGAATTGTAGTTTTTTATGAAAAAAAAAGTTGGTAAAAATGTATATTTTTTCCCCTCAAAACATTTAAGAGCCTTTAAGGTTTAAGTTTCAAAACTACCTGAATAAACTTTTGATGTCCCATTTACTGATCGACATGACTTCTTTCCCTAACGTACAAACGTAGTTCCTAAAACAAAATGCATATATATTTCTTTTATTAACAATATGCGAGAAGTTTATATCCATGTACATGTATTTGCATAATTGTAAGGAAATAAAATAGATTACATGCCATGTCTTGCCTTTGAGTTCTCAAAATTTGCTAGAGTTGTTCTCAGTGCGTTAATTTCGGCATCTTGTTCCGCAATCTTTGTGTTCAGCTGTGTTTGTATGGTTTGGAACTGTTGCTCAAGAGCTTGCAGTCGTGAGTTCATGAAGCTTACATCGTCTACCAACATACGTCTGCTGCCAAGTTGACGATTCTCTAGTAATGCTGACGTTACTGACAGGAGGCTTACGGACAAGAAGGTTAAGATAGTCATGACACTTGTATTTAGGCCGCAATGCGATGTCGTTGTTTTTCTTTTATGTATGACGACTCAATCGTTTCTTATCTTCATTTCTGATAAAATATTAAACGTCTGCAGAGTGCAAAATTTAGAACTTTTTAGAAATTTGGTATGCAGATTTATCATAAATGTATTTATGTTAAGTTTGGTTTTAGGTACGATCAAGCTATTTTCAACAGAGTTTAGCCATTTTGACGAAGTAAAATATTTTAAGTATTTAGGGGAGGAGTGCTTTGCAAACATTTCTTGTTTTTTTTTCAGTTTTGAATATGCAAAACCTTTATATTAGACATTTTAAATACTGAACAAATTGGTTAGTATTTATTTGAAATTTTGCATTTTAAATGTGATTACATGATACAAACAACACAGGCAACAGTTTGGGAATCTTTGTACGGTGGACATGGCAGTGAACCACATACTGCCTGTACCGGAAAAAATAGTCTACCATCATTATTATACTGTCGAGCACCATCTGTCATATATTCAGGATTTCCATGAAGACACAGATATTCAGAGCCGTAATAAACAGGGTTAGTCAGACTTGAATCAGATGTTAAGAAACCTGAATATTGCTTTGTCCAACCAAGAGGACATGAATGTTTTGCAGGAATCATCATAGAAGATGATGCATGGTGGACAAAACAGACAGCACACGGTACATCGTCATTAACAGCAATATTTTTAAAAGAAAAATCATATTCTGATCCATATAACCGACCAAAGCCTGAAGAAGAAGGAAGACCAGCCGGTGCCGACTCTGGATCATGAGGCAGACAGAGTGTATTCACACCACTTCCTGCTTGTCTGTAATCTCTACCCGCAGTAAATCCTACAACATACATTATATAGAACGAATTACCGTAAAAAGACATCTAACTCAGATCAAGAGACAAGACAGATGACCCAGACCCATAGCATCGAGAGTAAAATTGAATATTGACCCGAGATTTTATAGTCTGAAGTATGATTTAGCGATACCTGATATGCGGTGACATTTTTAGAAATGAAAATCAATGGTCATTTATTAATAAATATATGACGAAGCAAAAAAAATTGATATTGAAAATACAAAGATCAATAATTTTTAGAGATATATCAATTTATACAGTAAAAAATAACTGCCTACGAATGTTTTAGGTAAACTTTTACAAGTGATTAATGATTGATTGATTGATTATTGTATTTTTACGCTGAGTCGGCAATATTTCAGCCAAAAAAAAAATTTGAATACTGTATGAATTTTTTGGGCAAATCTCTCATGGCGGCAACGTTGAATGAGCCCACCTTTTTTTTTTTGAAAGATAATCCTAAAAGTTTGCAATAAAATATACATTTTTTTTGTTTACAAAAACATGGAGCGAAGACCCACTTTACCTTAAAAGTACACTTTTATGACAAAACATTCGCATCATCTTTCCGAGAAATACTTCCAAGTCCATTAAGTCAAGGGTTATATTACAAACATGATTTAAATGCCCCACTTCATCATGAGCCGTGTAACATAGTGGTAGCGCGTTAGTCTCAAAGCAATTTGATACGTCGGATTTTTATTGCTCGGGAAGAAATTTTTAAAGATATATACTATCGAATATTTACGCTTATAAAAGAAAAATTTTTACAAGCTTTTTTTCTCTCAGAAAATTTTTTATTTCCCATAATTTCATAAATTTCAATAATGAGAAGTTAATTTAAAACTCTTTTACACTACCAAAGGATGCTTCCAAGTCATGGCTTTGTTGTTTTTGAGAAGAAGGTTTTTATGACTATGACTTGGTGCTCTTGATAAGAAGATTTTTAAATATATTTTCCTGTAATTCTTTTATGTGGTCTCCCATTGTAGCCCACCCTATTTCCGGGGGTCATCATTTGAACAAACTTGAATCTATACTATCTGATGATGCTTCAATTTCAATATGATTAATCATTGCTTTGTTATTCTTAAGAAGAAGATCATTTTTTAAAGATATTTTTCCTATTTATTCCTAAGTAAAAAATCATTGTGGCTCCACTTGACTCTCATTTGAACAAAAACTTTTAAATATATATTTAAAAAAAGGTTTCCTATTAGTTTGAACTTGTTTGGCCCAGTTGTTCTTAAGAAAGTTCCCATCAAATTCACTATTTCTGAATCATGTTGCCTTAAAGATGAAATCTTCCATATCAATATGATCCCCATAATCAAGGCTTTGCTATGTGGCTAGTTTGAAGATTAATTTTAAAAGATGTTTTCCTATTTATTCTTAAGTAAAAATGTGATTCCCCATTTTGGCTCCACCCTACTCATGGAGCTCCATGGTACTGGAGAAGAAGTAAAAAGTTTAGAAACAGACGAATAGACAAGGTGTGATCAGAAGAGCTCACTTGAGCTTTCTGCTCAGGTAAGGTAAAAACTACAATTACCAGCATAGACCAAAGAGGTTCCGTTGACGACTGGACATGTCTTTCGTCCCCATCTTATGTAAGTCGAACCTGTGTACCAATTAAAAAGAGGAATTGCACGAAATGTTTCATTAAATTCATGCATTTAAAACACTTATACAGCAAATATCAAAATGAAAATGACATAAATTATAAATCTCTAAAAAATTTAAAAAAGGTAATCAGAGATTACAGAGCTCACCTCAACGAATGTTTGTCTTTAAGTAAGGCAAAGTCCAACATTAAACTAATAATCTAGAAGTGTTCATCCCAAGATCACTCATCTGGAAAATTTAGATGCAAGCCCGATAGTGTGCATCACTAGATGTATCATCCATGCAAGTTTGGTTAACATAGTGCTTATAGTTACTTCAGAATGAACCTGCTCAAAAAACTTTAACCTGTTCACTCATCCGGAAAATGTATGCAAGAGCAAGCATCTGAAGCAAGCAGGTAATATGAATCCTTAGATGTATCACTCATGCAAATTAGTCAACATTATAAGGGCTTATAGCTACTTGGAAAAGAGGCCTGCACCAAAAACTTTAACCTGTTCAATCATCCAGAAAATGTAGGTCAGATACAGCATCTGAAGCAAGTTTGGTAACTTATGCATCCTTAAATGTATCAACCATGCAAGTGTGGCAAACATAGGGGTAATAGTTACTTGGAAGTAAGATCTGCCTCAAAAACTTAAGTCTTCTCCAAAAATATTAATCCGGTCAATCCTTAGCTGAAATTGCAGCATCTGAATCCTTGATTGGTACAATGAAACACACTAGAAGCATCTTGCTTGCATTTTAGATCAAATATAGGCTTCACCAAAAACTTAAAGAGACAAAACACCGACGCCGAAAAACGTCGGTAACCCACGGGTGATTCACATCGATTCTCTCTATGAAGCTTGCGGACTCAAAACCCGTGGTTTGCGACGATGGGGTATCACATAAGCTCCCCCCAACTTCGTCGAGGTGAGCTAAAAGTCGTCGATTTTCTTTTATTCTTTAATTTGCCATTCAGCATCGTTTTTAAAGCAATTCTATACAAACTTGTAAGAATGCAAAATTACCTGAAGTTCTAATGCTTAGTTGATTTTTCAAATCCTGAATTTCTGATTCCTGAGAATTTATTTTAGCGTCTTGGGCCGAGTTCCTAGTTTTTGTTTCAAGCAGATCTAATTTTAAAGCCTGTAATTCATGTTCCAGGGCTTCTAGCCGTGAATTCATCATGTCAGGATCGTTATCACCGGAAACAGAAATTAAGCAACTATATAAAAAGCAAAAGAAGAAAACTGAATTCATGACAAGGAACATATACTCTCAAGGTGGAAAGAATATAAAATTCTTCGCTGTAGGCTTAATTCTCCTTATCATTATCAGTTTGGTTTGGTTTTGATAAGGATATGTGTGTGTCTATTAACTTGAAAAATGGCCATTTATTGCTTTATTTCATCCAAACCAAATATTTTTTTCTTGGTTTGCTGTACAGGAAATCTTTGGAAGACATGATATTTTTGATAGAGATATCGAAGTTGTATCTTAGAATGAGACGGGGAACATAAAAGATGTGATAAGGATTTGGAAGGACTCAATTGCTCTATTATTTGTAAAATTTGACAAAGTTGTAAAAGAGGGTCGAGACATCATTTCAAATCATGCTTTGGTGTCTAGATATTGAATTTAAAAAACCTCTATAACTATATAACATTTGAAATCAATTCAACAAATTATGCTGTACATGGTGTCTAGATTATTAATTAAAAAAAAATCACTAACTATTACCACATTTGAAAAACACTTCATCAAATTATGATATGGTGTGTTGCAACCACTATTGAAATGCGACCACTATTGAAATAATTATTTCAATAGTGGTTGAAAGTCCATTTCAATAACAAACATAGGCTACAACCGCTATTGAAATACGACCACTATTGAAATAATTATTTCAATAGAGCTTGAGAGTGCATTTCAATAACAAACGTAGGTTGCAACCACAATTGAAATACGACCATTATTGAAATACTTCTTTCAATAATGGTTGAGAGTGCACAAAGGTTGCAACCACTATTGAAATACGGCCACTATATGACATAATTATTTCAATAGTGGTTGAGAGTACATTTCAATAAGAAACATAGGCTGCAACCAGTATTGAAATAATGTTCCATTTGAAATTAAGTTTTCAATGGTGAATGAAATAATGATTTCAAAAGTGATTTAAATAATTTTTTTGATAGTTGCTGATAATCAATCAAACACAAAAACCACATTGCAAGACTTATTGAAATAACTTAATTATTATAAACTATAAGGATTAATTGTTCATTATGTTCTCCAACATTTCAATTCATTCATTGAGTTTACTATCAAAATTACGACTACATGTACTTGTAAATTATTGCTTCAAAAGAAGTTGACAATACTTTTGAAAACACCACCACATTTTAATAACTATTGAAATAACACCCACCATATGGTAATAAACCAAATACTGACTTCCCTAGAAATTTAGTTATTTATTGTCTTGAAGAGTAGACTTGGCTTTACTATCCAAATTTGTAGTGTAGGTAATCCCATGAATATGAGCGACAATTACGTTCTATTCTATATTCTTTTTATTAAAAATAACTATATTTTCATCAGAAAGTTTGTACGCAAAGTTATCAGTCTTTCTTCTTTTTTCAATGTAGTCTAGGTATTCTAATTTCTACATCTAGATGTATTTATGATCCTTTCCTTTCCAAATCAACGACAAAAATGAACTTTATATTATTAACAAATTATTTCAAAATAGCATATATTAATTGATTGTTGGTTTTCGCCGATTCGACCAAATTCAGTGGGAGCTTGCTTATAACTTTTGCCTACAAGTAGGCCAGTTCAATAAAAAGTGTCCGTGTTACTGTATTAATTGAAATTTCTACAAAAAAAAGGAAAACATAAAACAACTTTACTTGTCATATTCTAAACTCAATAAAATAGTTTATTGTGTTAGAAAACAGAATGTGTAATTCATCCTCATATTTGTTTTATAAAGGGTACTTAACACAAACAAAAATTTGATGCATGGATTAAAGATTAATTAGAAATTAAAGTTTTTGAACACAATACGTAGTATTGGGAGGGGGCATGTGCAACTCCCAATTTTCCAAACATTATCTTTACTGTTGGAAGAGACAGGTTGGTTGCTCCACTACTTCTTGTTATAGCATAGATAAATCATGGGAATTTGGTAATGTAAAATAAGGAGATGGGTGAACATGACAAGCGAAAAGCCTATAGCAACGAGTCAATTTCTCACACTATAACACCATTTTTCGATATGAGTAAGCTCCATTTTTTAAAAAAGTTAATCCCCAAAGTTTGCATAAATATATACACTTTTTAGTTACCAAAATTATGGAGCAAAGACCCACTTTACCTTAAACATATACCTGTATGACACAACTTTTGCATCTTTTCATTGATTCTAGTAGTTTTGGTCCCAACCATTAGGCCCCAGGGGGCAGGGACCATAAAATTCTTTTTAATAATAATTTTTGTTCCCCTTCATCCATAGATGCTACATGCCAAAACTGGTTGAAATTAGTTGAGTGTTTTCAGAGAAGAAGCTGAAAATGTTTAAATGTTAACGCACGACGACGGAAAAAAAGAGATAGCAATAGGTCACCTGAGTGACTCTGGTGAGCTAACAAAAGACAAAAGAAACTTATAATAATTATGTTCCCCAAACGAAGTTGGGGAACATATTGTTTTTACTCTGTTTCTTATTATTATTATTCTTATTATTTTTCTTCTTCCTGGGAAAATTTTGTCCACGAGTGATCTTGTAAACTTCACATCCGACATAGGTGAAACCTTTTTAGGGTCAGTAGGCATGTTATGTAGAGTTGCCGAATGAAGGTCATTTTGCGCGCACGTGCTTGCAAGAGCGCGCACGTGCAACACGTGAAATGACCAATAAAATGGATATTGCCGTAACTTTTCTATTTTTTGACGAAATTTTTTGAAACTCATAATGTAAGGATACATTAGTAGTATAGACAAGATAGCATGGTCAAAATAGCAAGATCTCACGCGCATGCACGTGTGCTTCGCTCTGATTGGTTGAATTTAAAGTCTCAATATCTTTCTTGTTTCTTGTCATAATCCTTTGAAATTTTTAACATAGACCTACATTATGAAGATCTACCGCATGATATATAAGAATTTTCATGAAAGTATGCGCATGTGCGCGTGCTGCAAGCTGATTGGCTGAAACTTTAAATGGCTATATCTCCTTTGTTTTTTTGACGAAATTCTTTGAAATTTAAAATATAGTCATGCAATGGGATATCCTACAAAATGATATAGAAAAAATATCATGAAATCACGCGCATGCACGTGTGCTGCAATCTGATTGGCTGAAACTTTAAATGGCTATTTCTCCTTTGTTTTTTGACGAAATTCTTTGAAAATTTAAATAAAGTCATGCATTGGGATATCCTACAAAATGGTATTCAAAAAAATCATGAAATCACGCGCATGCACGTGTGCTGCAATCTGATTGGCTGAAACTTTAAATGGCTATAACTCCCTTGTTTTTCAACCAAACAGGATGGGATTTAGAACATAGATAGATGTAAGGGACTCCTACAAGAAGGTATGATCATCATGCACGTGCACGCACGTGCGTGCATTTGAAACGAGTATATTTAAAAATACACTTGAATGAGTGATTTTTATTACTTTTGGACTGAATGCTTTAATATATAGTATATTAAAATATATAAATAGTGTAGACAAGATGATATGGTCATAACGCACATGCATTCACATGCGCTCGGGTGCAATGCTAAAAAATGAATATAATTGGTATCCTTCTGGGAAAACGTTGTTAAAGTCAAAAATGCACAGAGTTTGGGAGTTGGGGAGCGTTTGGGGAACATCTGTAACGGTTCCCGTTACAATTAGCACTAGTTTATTTTTTGAATGGACATTTCAATACAATTTTCATGTACACATTACTATTATTCATATTGCAAAAAAAAGCATATTTACACTCTCTTAACATAACTGATACTTGATACATTCACACCTTAAACATTTCCAACAAAACTGATTCATTACTCAATTATGCTTTTCTTAAATTAAAGCCTTCAAGATATCAACCTGACATATGAATTTATTAAAATCAAAGTAAAAACAACAACAAACATTCACTACCATATGTATAAAAGGTAACATTTTTACTCTTTGACAGTTGTAAGGAGTAAAAATGCATTTTGAGCAAATTAGCTACATTTCTGAAACATACATGTAACTGATAAACTGTTGTGTTTTTTGAAATCCCTCCATGGATGAGAAAAGAACAGTAATAAACCAATATTAATCAATGATTAAATATAAAGAGATCCATCAGCAGGGCCTATGTATCCTACAGCAATCAGAATCACGTCCACAATTGTCCACACCCCCAGACCCCCGAAACTAAACAGCTTCCCCAGGGCCTCCTTCCACTGGCCCAGGTAAAAACGGTCCACTCCAAACCCTCCAAGTGTAACACTGTAATAAAACACAGAAAGGTTTAGACACAGAGAGGTAAAGTATGTAACACTGTAATAAAAATCAACACAGAGAGGTAAACCATATAACAATGTAATGAAAAATAATAGAAAGGTGTAAACTATAAATCGTTGTAATAAAAATCAAAGAGAGGTGTTGCCATGTAACACTGTAAAAGAAACACAAAAATGTAACTATGTAGCCCTGCAAAAAGAATGAAATAGAGATGCAACCATGTAGACCGAATACTGTAATAAGAATCAAAGTGAAATGTGATGGCAATTAAAATCAAGAAGAAGTGTAACCATGTAACACTGTAATAAGAATCAACAAAGATTTAACAGTGTAACATAACAGTGTAACACTGTAATAAGAATCAACAAAGATTTAACTGTGTAACACTGTCATGAAAACACAGATGTGCAATAAGAATGAAAGAGAGATGTAACCTTGTAACACTGGAAATAGAATTAAAGTGTGGTGTAACCATATAACTTGTAATACCGTATACGAATCAGAGAGCGGTGTAACCATGCTACAGTATAAGAATCAGAGGTGTAACCAAGTAAAACTGTGAAAATAAAATTGCAGACGTTTACCCATGTATCACTGTAACAGGAATCCAACAAATGTGTAACATGTAACACTGTTGTTATCTAGCATTCTATATGTATATGTACATTTATGATTTATCTATTGAAAACCCTGTTGTTTATATGTATACCTTAAAGCCAGTGCTGTTGACCACTTGTATCCACTTGTCCAATTACAAAACTTTCGCTTTTGAAAAGTCCTGTTTCCTAAAGAAGATAATAAAAAAAGTTCACTGTTTTAAGATACATATTGCAATCCAATTACTTTACATGTGCATTATTTTAAGTTTGTGTACAAGTTTGAATATTTATTTGTAAAAGAACATTGATAAATGTAAACTAATTTAATGCAATACCATTTTAATGAATATGTATAATACTGTTGTTGCATTAAACAAAATTATACAATGTGAAAATACAATCTGTGTGAATTAACCATGTGCTCATATATTTACCTAGACAAAAAACATTTTCCTTGACCTGACACTGGGACACGTATCGTTTGCGTGGAGCATCCCTCACAGCACAGGTTGCATTCACTTTACTGCATGTGTAATTGGATTCATGCAGCTGGTAGCAATACCTGCAGTTTAATTTTCTTATTTGTTCCCTAGAGCCCTGTGCCAAACAAAAACTTTTAAGGATATTTTCAAATTGATGTAAGTAAACAAAGCTGTTAAAAATATTCTGAATATAATACAGGGGATTCCTTATTCCTCAGCCATTCATTAACTTGCTTATGATGAAGAGAAGATCATATGGCAAGTCAATACAAAGAAATGAAAGACAGAAGAATCAACTGAAAATGGAATATGATATCTTCAGCTTGTAGTGCAAGTACCGTATATACTCGCCTATAAGTCAGTATTTTGGGAGTTAAATATTGGTCTAAAACTCTATGTCCGACTTATAGGCGAGTCAAAAAGAGATTGGTATTTTTCTGGAGGCTAAAATGTAGCATCTTATGTGCATGTCCGATGATTATCAAAGAAAATGTCTGGATATATAAGATAATCTACTATGTATTCTTAGATTATATATATAAAATACAAGTATTTATATATTTTAATAATTTTATTTGTATTTTAAGTGAAGCATTGCCTTTTCTAAAAAATAATTCAAAATTAATATCAGTGTCATTTCGAAAAATATATTAATTGAAACCAGGTTAAAACATCTATGGATGTACTTGAAATTGTCACCAGATTTTGTCAAAAAATTGTATCGACTTATAAGCGGGTCAATACCAAATCAAACCAAAATAACGTCAAAAAATACAACCGACTTATAGGCGGACCGACTTATAGGCGAGTATATACGGTAGCTGCAGATCTGTAGCTCACTGGTATGAAAAAATTGGGATGGACAACCAGAGAGCTACAATGCCACCCATTGAAAAAAAGTGTATATTTATTGCGCAGAAAAAAAGTGTGTTATTTCTCTATCTATTTCTCTATATCAAACTGCCATCTAAAAACATCATTAACTGTATATTCTAAGCATCTTTTTTACTTCCAAGCTCGTTCATTTGAACAGCCAACTTGTGCCAATACCCAAGCGAAACATTTCCCAAAGTCCCTGTTAATAGCCCCCCTGAGCCTCATGACTTGTATGTGCTGTTTTGTTGTGGAAGTAGTTAAAGAACATCTTAGGAACACAGTTAGTAATATTTTGAAATATACATAGAAATAAACCAAGAAACAGCACACTTTTACTGCACAATAAATATACATTTTTTCAATGGGTGGCACTGTAGCTTTCTAGTTATCCAACCCAAAATTTAACAGACAAGCGAGCTACAGATCTGCAGCTTATAGCCTAGAAGTCTTCGTGCAGTAGCTACATTCTGTTACAGTATGTGTAGTTTAAAATATATTTATGTATGTGTCTGACGTAAATGGTAAAATCCACTCTTAGGAGGTATAAAGTTTAATATCTGTAAACATGGCCAAGACAGAGTAAATTCGATGGGTCATTTCCATACAAGTAAAACCATAATCAAAACCCAATACCAGTACTCTGATACCTTAAAAAACTTAAATTATTGCCAACATTTAATTAACTTCTATGACTGAGTCCCTCCTTACCACGCATTTTACGCCCTCTTTCACTGTACAATTCACAGAAGTATCATCTCCATAGGTACAGTGATAATTGAACTGGCAATCGAGACATTCTGGTCCTAGTGAGTGACACTGAGCCCCATCTGGACATCTAAGGGGCACCACATGGGGAGTGGGAGTTGACACTTCAGTAGGAGTGTATGTCAATGACGAGTTTCCATCTGGAGATGTGTTCTGTGATGTAGTGGCATTAATCTCAGGTAAATCTGTGACTGTGTTAACAGATGATAGTTTTTCTGTTGAACCTGAAGTATTTTTTGTAGAGAAATATTTAAAACAAATAAAGTTCTAACCAAAATAGGCTAGACAAACACCATAAACACCAATTTTCTGACACCACTTCCTCATGAAATCCAGTCAAAGCGCCCCCTAATAAAACCATCCCGGTCAAAGTGTTCCTTGATTTTGGTCAAAGCGTCCCCTGATTTTGGTCAAAATGTCCCCTGATTTGGTCAAAGCGCCCCTTATAGAATTTTACAGTAAAATGATGTTTCAAAACCACCCCCAAATATTGGTCAAAGCGTCCCCTGATTTTGGTCAAAGCGCCCCCTACATGTTTTTCTTAGAAAAAATCGTCTTGGAACCATCCCCAAGCAATGGTCAAAACGTCCCCGATTTTGGTCAAAGCGTCCCCTGATTTTGGTCAAGGCGCCCCCTAATATATTTTTACAAACATGTTACGGAATAAAGCAATGGTCAAAACGTCCCCAATTTTGGTCAAAGCATCCCCTGATTTTGGTCAAGGCGCCCCCTAATATATTTTTACAAACATGTTACGGAATAAAACTGTTTTGTATTTATAATATTATCATTGTTTTGCAGTTACCCGAAAAAATTCTATAAGGGGCACTTTGACCAAATCAGGGGACATTTTGACCATTTCTTGGGGATCGACAAGAAAACGTTTTTTTTCCCCTGTAAAAATATATTAGGGGGCGCTTTGACCAAAATCAGGGGGCCCTTTGACCAAAATTTGAGGGCGGTATTTTTTTCTATAAAAATATATAAGGGGACGCTTTGACCAAAATCATGGGACGCTTTGACTTAAATCATGGGATGCTTTGACTAAAATTGGGGCACGCTTTGACCAATATTTGGGGACGATATTTTTTCTATAAAAATATGTTAGGGGGCGCTTTGACCAAAATCAGGGGGCGCTTTGACTAAAATCAGGGGACGCTTTGACTAAAATTAGGGGACCCTTTGACCGGGACGTTTTTATTAGGGGGCGCTTTGACTGGCTCCCTTCCTGATAAATAAAATACAGTCCCACCAGTTATGCCTTTTATACTATATATTGTCATTGTTTAGATATGTTTTGAATAAAATTTTGTCACAAAAAATTTAGAAGCCGGTTTGATAACTCCTAAGAATATACAAAACAGTTTAGTAGTTTCCTAAAAGATATAATAATTTTATTATTAACAGAATCCTTTTTGCACAAAAATAATCTTATCATCGATTGCCTCATTCAGTTTAAGAAGTAAATTAATTCTAATATCTGACGGTATTTTTAACCATTGTCAAGTATTTGCATTAAAAGAAAAAAATTTATCGAGGAAATTCGAAATCATAACAAATCGTCCTCGTATCTCTCTGAAATCGCCTTGACTACAGAATGAATAGACTAACTTACTTTGTGTGACTGAAGTAACAGACAAGAAAACTGATGAATGTATAAAGAAAACGAGTATGATTCGTGTCAGCTGCTGTTGATTTCTTTTGATGACATCCATTCCGTCATTTTTTTTCCCGGAATACGTAAACAACGTAGTATTTGATTGGATAAAATCATCCAAGGTAGATCACTCTAATATTTTGATTGGCAAGAGATAAAATGACAGCACCTGTTGTATACATTACCAGAATAGAAACGTTCAGCGCCTGTCATAGGTTACACAGGTAGATATATAAAGTTAACTACAATGCCTGCTCAATAGATTTTTTTCTATATACTTCCATTTTTAAAATGAAAATACCAATTTAACGATTGTGTTCTGAGGAAGGTAGAAGTAGGGAAATAGGTCTGGCGGTAAAATCTAAATACTTGTCATTATTTATCGAGTAAATTTATCTTTTATTAAATATATCTACTTTTAAGGACTATAAAGTTAATGTTTTACCAAACAAAATGAGAGAGAGAGACCAACTCCTGTAATAATTCACGATCGATATGAAAGATTTTCAAAAGACAAATGCAATCACAAAAGGAAAAGAAAAATTAAACTTTGTACTTCGTTAAGCCATGAAAATGTTCTCATTAATTGTTTTAAATGATTATTTATTCTAATTTGTTACTTACAATTGATTATAGAATACATTGTCAATCAGGTCAATTACGGAACGTTTCTCTTGTCTATTGGCAAATATTTTGGAAGTAGCAAGTGCTTGACAAATCATGTAATGTGTGTATTCAACCTATTCAACAACTTAAAAAAAAAATAAGGTAAATTGTCAACTTTTTTACTCTTTCATTTTTAATTGAATCAGATGTAGTAAACTGTTCACTAGCAAAAGATACCCTTTCCTGTGTTTGTATAGCGCACGTGCGTAACTTCGGTCACTGATTGTCATGTACCTGATTATGTAATATGACATAAGAATACTACACACCTGTCACTAGATCAATTATTTAATCACTGTGTATACACAGTAAACGTATTATTTCAGATGTCCAATCACAATAAAATCAAATTAATTTTGTCTTTATTCTTTTTATCATAAATAGTAAAATATGAAACTTTCAAAACAGTTTGTTATCTTGTATACACAAAAATGAAATAAATTTATAATTTTTATTGATTTTATTAAATTTCTTTAAATATTGCAGTTCTTTTCTGTGCTGAAATGAAAAAGTGTATAATGAATTATTTTCCTCAGAAATAGTGTGAACATAATTTAATGTCATTAATTTACGAACTGGATCGAGCAAAACTTTAATTCATACATACAATATTTATAATATACGTCTATCAACCATTCCCTTCGATCCTTGTGAATTATACAATGTACCAGGGACATACATAAGTCCCTGATTATACCCAGCATATAATCTTATAGTTAAATGAATAAAAAAATAAATTTTGATTAAAGTCATACATGGCATATATTGTTGTTTATATATACTAAACGTAAAATCTTTTTATTTTGATTATACATGTAACTTAATATATACATTGTTCATATAAGATTTTCCAGTAAAATTACACATGAGTCCTCCTTTTTTAGAAATCAAGAAAATACGTCAATGATATTACAAACAAAAATTTTATATGAAAGAATAACTTATTGTTAGAAATATATATAAATGAAAAATGGGAAAAATTAAAAATAAAACTACTCTGGCACGTGTCTGTAATCAGTGAGAGTTATCTTTCTTTGGTACATGCACAAATACTTACGCTAAAATTATGAAATTTTAATTTGGTATCTAGGCTTTAGAACAGTTAATTTCATCAATATTTAATATTTTTTTTATTCTTAACAATATAAGGGGCTTTTCGGTGGCATTTCGGTGATTTCTCTGGACATTTCGGTGATTGCAGGGCATTCCGGTGATTCGTAGTACCGGTCTTCAGGTCTTGCTAGTACAGTCATTTTACACAAAACGAATCGGTTTCTAGTTACGTATTAAATACAACCCATATCTTTGAATTTCCAAATTTTCTTTGTTGTTGTTTAATTTGTATTTCTAAGCTCTACAAACAAGTAGTATAAAAATTTCCAAAATATAAACGGTACAGTGACATATAGCTGTCAAAAAAACACCCCCCTTTTTTCCTAGTTTCGAATCGATTTTTCAGTATCGAATCAGGTGCCCTCTATTGTTGATGACTTAATAAATGAAACCGGTTGGTCGAAATTATTGTAGTAATATACGTTCAAGAAAATAATTCTACATAAAGTATATAAGTATTACTTGTTGATTCAAATGATTATTTTTCTAAAACTAAACAATATGAAAAATGTTGCATTTTATGAGAAACTTTTAGTGACATGCGTTATTATAATTAAATCAATCATCTCTGAGTCATAATTTTCATGGAATATTTTTGTTTATAAATAGTTTTGATAGTATTTTCACTCCTGTCAGCTTTCTTTGTTTTTTTTGCATCCCGTAAAACGGCATTTTTCGTTCTTCCAAAATTCGTAATTCGTAACTAAGAAAACAACACGTGGTAAGTTTAGATGTTAAGTTTCATTCAAAAGTCAATTTTCCTTGAATTTAATATTCTATCTTTTTGTATTTATCCTAAATATTGATTACATTCACAATCTGGATCGACAACATATCAAATTTTTTATTTAGACGCATTTCTCGACACACTTTCGTTTTCTTAGACTTGCACTTGCGCGTGTTAAAATCTACAGTAGTGTAGGTCATCGGTTCAAATTGTAAATATTGTGGGAAATAATCATGCAGATATTACAAAAACACAACACAGTGATAGAATATTCATCCTTTTATTGTATTAACCTAGTAAGATTTTAAAAACCCTTCACTATGTTTTTCTAGAATATTTAAATAAAAAAAATATTCGATACTGGCAAATATTAGTTACTGGTAATATGACTGTATTTCCAGAAAAAAATTTATATATGTCTTGTAAATCATTTCACTTTACAATTATAGCTTGGAACTTGGGGAGGAAGAAAACAAAACTATATTCGGAAAATGTAACAATCCAAACGGACATGGGCATAATTACAAAGGTATGATACAATTGATCTTATCTATTGGATCAGTGATAAATGTATCTATAAATGTGTGATAGCTCAGAAAAGGGTGCTTTATATTCTAATAATTAAGAAAAGTGGGAACAGATGTGAAATAAACATTTACTGATGTCTCATTTAATGTATTAAAAAAAAAAATATTTCAACTTCGTTTTTTCAGTGGAAGTTACTGTCAAAGGACCGGTAAGTATTGAAAAAGTCTATTCAAAATTAATAATTATAATAAAATCCCTCTAAGATAATCCCTCTAAGATATTTATGCCCGGCCTGCCTAATTGAAGACCTACAGAAGACCTACAAAAATGTGGGTTTATATACAGCAAAACTGATGTTATATTCTGATTAAGCATGTCCTAAATACATAAGATACACAAAAAAGTTTTATAAAAAGAAGTTTTAAAGTGTATTTTTTAAGCGTGGTATGGGGAACTATTTCTGGGGCAAAATACAGACATTAATTTTTTACTCCCAACTGCAACCTTACTGTTCCCTTTATTGTGTTTCACCCGATAGTGTAAAAGTTTCAGCTTTGTAAAGTTTTAAAATTTTACTGATTTTATTGACTAATTATTTTTTTTTTAACAAAATAGAATTGTCTCTGACTGAATATTTCATTTTATGTTTTAATCTTTGATGTATTTGTCTAAAATATCTCCAATTATTTTTTTTTCGTCATTAAATATAATTTATTTAATTACATTTTTCTGATAATTACATTTTCTTGATATGTTTTGGTGAACAACTGATTTGTTATTTACCCGAGTTATTATTCTTGCTGTAGGTCGTCTGAGAGAAGAAATAGTTCCCCTTACCAAGCTTAAAAAATACACTTTAAAACTTCTTTTTAAAAACTTTTTTGTGTATTTTATAAATTTAGGACATGCTTAATCAGAATATCACATCAGTTTTGCTGTATATAAACCCACATTTTTGTAGGTCTTCCTTAGGTCTTCTCTAGGTCTTCAATTACCTGTAGGTCTTCAATTAGGTATTCCCATTTATGCCCCTGGATCAAAAGATTGTGGGGTATATTGTTTTGTCCTGTCTGTTTGTCTGTCAGTTTTTCTGTCTTTTGTCAGCTTTAACCTAGCCCATAACTTCAGTGGGTGGGGTTATAGCTTTCATATTTCACAGGTTATTCCTTATGAGAAGACCTTTCTTTGGGTGCCATCAAATTTGACCTTTTGACTTGACTTTGGAGTTTGACCTACTTTTACAAAAAATACCACACTTTAATGTGTTTAACATTGGCCATAACTTTTGAACAGTTGAAGCCATGCAGGGCTTTCATACTTCACATGTGCATTTCCTGTGACAAGACCTTTCAGCTGCTATAAAAAAGTTTTGACCTTGACCCAAGAGTTTGACCCACTTTTTAAAAACTTTAAGTTTGGTCATAACTTTTAAACAGTTACTGAGTTAGAACTAGGGCTTTCATATTTCACAAGTGTATTCCTTGTAACAAGACCTTTCTTTTGGTTCCAACACTTTTGACCTTTTGAGTTTGACATGCTTTTGAGAGAATTCAAACCTTGCCATTAGCTGCCGGATGGAGGTTTCAAAGTTTCACAAACACATCTTGTTTTTCCAATACTTTATCTCTCCCTATTTTCATTACATATGTTGTTTAATCCTATTGAATGTAATAAATATGAATATTTATGAATAAACAATTGATAAAGGAGATTTATAAAAGTAGCAAGATGAGTTTGTGAAACACTGATTGCAGCTTGTGGCAAGAGTTAAACTTTCTCAAATGCATGTCAAATTCCAAGATCAAATGTCAAAAGGTCAAAATTGTTGGAATCCAAAGGAAGGACTTGTCATAAGAAATAAATCTTTGAAATATGAAAGGCCTAGTACTAACTGTTTAAAAGTTATGGCTAAGATTAAAAATATTTAAAAGTGGATAGGGTCAAGGTCAAAAATATTTATACCCATTGAAATGTCTTTCACACTGGTTACACATGTCAAGTATGAAAGCCCTAGCTAGCACTAACTGTTCAAAATTTATGACCAAAGTTAAAGTTTGGTAATTTATAGTAAAAGTGGGTCAAACTCCAAGGTCAAGGTCAAGGAGGTCAAACTTGGCTGTACTCAAAAGAAGGTCTTGTCACAAGGAATACACCTGTGAAATATAAAAGCCATTAACCCACTTACTCAAAAAATATGACCAAGGTTCAAGGTTTTACGAACAAACAGATTAACATCTGAACAGACACACCAACAAGGCAAAAATTTATATCCCCAAATCTTTGGGGCATTAAAAAGAGTGTATACATATGTGGAGCAAATAAAACTTTGTTTATTTTTTGAAAAATCCCTACATGTATAAGAATTGATTTAAGGCTGCAAAATACAATGTACTTCATAACTAATTAAAATATTTTGTAGGTTGATCCAGTAACAGGAATGGTCCTGAATATTGTAGATCTAAAGAAGTTTATGCAGGTATTTATGTTTTCATTAATAGCAGTGATACTAAAGCATAAATTCTGAGAGAATTTTAAAAGCAGATAGACCAGGTTGGCTGCTATGGGGTCATTTTAATAGATGATGCCAATTTTTAGGGGCCAAAAAAAATTAACAGTTTCATGGATGGAGTATTGCCTGGTCAGACATTCCATGAAAAACATAGGCTAGGGATCCACATTTACTGAGTAGTTTTGATACTAGTAAGAGTATCCAAGTCCACAAATATTGAACCCTAACATTACAATACTGTTGAACTTAGTTCTCTCAAACAGAGATATAAATACTTGGAATATTTCAAAGTGATTTGGCAGTCACATATGCCCCCCTCCCCAAAATAATTGGAATTTTTCTAAGTCAAAGGAACATAACTCTGTCCAAAATGGCCGATTCTACCCAAAAGAGAAGTTGACTTAGATATTCTTATGATAAATCTGTATACCAAATATCATTTTAATTTGTGCGACCTCTGTGAAGAAAATGAACGGAAACTGACAGACAGACCGACCGACAGATTTTTGATAAATCTGTACATGTATACCAAATTTCATTTCAATACTTGCAACCTTTGCAAAGAAAATGAGCAGAATTTTTCTAAGTCCTAGGGGCATAACTCTGTCAAAAATGGTCCATTCGTACCCAAAACAAAACTTGACCTAGATATTCTTATGATAAATCTTTTTACCAAATTTCATTTCAATATGTGAAAGCTCTTCAAAGAAAATGAATGGAAACAGATGGTGGACAGACAGACAGACTGATCAACAGACAGCAGCAAAGCAACATTCCCCTTCCTTCTTTGAAGGAGGGCATAAAAATGTATGGAAGAAAAAGTGGATCCCCCTCACCCACTGGATCTAAATGTACCTGCTTTATCATTTTCAGGATGCCATTATGGACACACTGGATCATAAAAACATTGATAAAGATGTTCCATACTTCAAAGACAAAGTGAGGTAATCTTTTGTTGTACAAACATTAAAGTTAAATGTATGGTATTTCAGTGATATTTTGTGACCATGCACTTTTATATCTTCACAGTACAACAGAAAACTTAGCTGTGTTTATTTGGAGTGAATTACAGAAGAAAACACCTAAGGACCTACTTTATGAAGTCAAGATTCATGAAACAGATAAAAATGTGATAGTCTATCGAGGAGAGTGATAGAAGGATATTGTGTAATTCATGAAAAAATTTGATTTGATTCCCATTTTTGCTGCATCACAGTCAATGAAACGGGTAAGCAGATCAGGAAGACTATTAAATGTATAAACTTAGTAAACTTGACAATGCTGCAGTTTTTAAAATTAGATTTTGTTGTACCAATTGTATACTGTACAGCATTATTATTATTTACATGTAGTTGTATTTTTCAGTGAAAAAGCTTATTTATTTGTGAAGAAGCGTTTTTTGAGTGTGTGTGTTAAGAATGGGAGTACCGTATATGAATGTAATGACAGCTTTGTACATGTAACTGTGCTGGTAATTGTTTAATGTGAATAGCATGTAGTACATTTGTTCGTCATTGATCCTTAATCTTTTTTTGGGGGGGGTATTTTTACTACATATTACATTTATATTATTATTTAGAATGCTCTAGCATAATCTCATTTTTATCAAATACAAGATATTGGTTTTGTTTTATCTTTTTATACAAGTATAACCATGTTCCTTAAAATACTGTATAATCACATATTTTCGTTGGGTCAAATTTTCAAGGTTTGAAGAATAAAATATTGGTTTGTGGGGATTTGATTTCTTGGTTGGAGAATGTTTAGTAGTAATGCATATGAAATTTTACATTTTGTGGTAGTCATGAATTCTTGATTCTCTCCATGGCTCGAAAACACCAAAAATTAAACCCCCACGAAAAGTTAGATTTCACAGTTTAAAACATTTTTGAATGCTCATGATAACTGTAAAGGTATTACATTTAGCGATGTATTCTAGCGATTTTGGCGGAAAGCAGAGCCCACTAGTTCAAGTACACCGCTAAATGTCTTGTATATTAACTGTTTTAACTCGCAAATTCAGATAGCGCTAAATCAAATCAACGCTAACTTGTTGAAAATTGAATTCCCGCCAAATATCGTACACGCCAAATGTAATACATTTACAGTATGTACATAGTTAGTTTATGTACAGAAACAGCAATGCATAGGTCTTGAGACCTATTTGTCAACAGCAGCTTTTTGTGTTGATTAAATCTGAACAGTTTGAATAAAAATGCATGTAGATTTTTCGGTTTCACTTTGATGTATATCAGAGATGTTGTTAAATACGTATTTTTAAAAGATATTGAATTTGCTATCTTATGTCACCAGAACCTATAGACTGATCTGCAATTACATGACTTTGTATTCCCGTGTATTGTTTCACATACATCTTTGACTTCCCTGCCATATTAAGTTGATTATGGTACAAAACAGAAACATGCTGGGAAACAAAAGTAAAAATAAAGAACTGGTTTGAACTTATATAAAGTACTTAAGCAGCGAAACTTTACAACAGTAATAAGTAGAATAATGATCATTGACAAAGTCTCTTTATGTTCTTAGTGTAGTCTACTTGTGTGCCAAGTTATATTGAAATCAGACCAAAACTGTAGAAATATTTTGAAACAATTTTAGACATTTCTATTTTTAATAACCACGGCAACACCGTTCATCAAAATTAAAATTTGATACACAGAATTATGTATCTTAGTGTATTCTACTTGTGTGCCAAGTTATATTGAAATCAGACCAAAACTGTAGGAGGAGTAGCATTTTGAAACAATTTTACAGATATTTCTATTTTTAGTAACCAAGGCAACACCGTTCATCGAAATCAAAAACCAATACATAGATTTATGTATCTTAGTGTAGTCTACTTGTGCGCCAAGTTTTACTGAAATCAGACCAAAACTGTAGGAGGAGTAGCATTTTGAAAGAATTTAACAGTAACCACGGCAACAATAATCAAAAACCGATACACAGAATTATGTAAAGTCTACTTGTGTGCCAAGTTATATTGAAATAAGACCAAAACTATAGGAGGAGTAGCATTTTAAAAGAATTTCACAGAAATTTCTATTTTTAGTAACCACAGCAACACCGTTCATCGAAATCAAAAACCGATACAAAGAATTATGTATCTTAGTGTATTCTACTTTTGTGCCAAGTAATATTGAAATCAGACCAAAACTGTAGGAGGAGTAGCATTTTAAAAGAATTTCACAGAAATTTCTATTTTTAGTAACCACGGCAACACTGTTCATCGAAATCAAAAACCGATACACAGAATTATGTATCTTAGAGTAGTCTACTTGTGTGTCAAGTTATATTGAAATCAGACCAAAACTGTAGGAGGAGTAGCATTTTAAAAGAATTTCACAGAAATTTCTATTTTTAGTAACCACGGCAACACTGTTCATCGAAATCAAAAACCGATACACAGAATTATGTATCTTAGTGTAGTCTACTTGTGTGCCAAGTTATACTGAAATCAGACCAAAACTGTAGGAGGAGTAGCATTTTAAAAGAATTTCACAGAAATTTCTATTTTTAGTAACCACGGCAACACCGTTCATCAAAATCAAAAACCGATACACAGAATTATGTATCTTAGTGTATTCTACTTGTGTGTCAAGTTATATTGAAATCAGACCAAAACAGTAGGAAGAGTAGCATTTTAAAAGAATTTCACAGAAATTTCTATTTTTAGTAACCACAAAAACACTGTTCATCGAAATCAAAAACCGATACACAGAATTATGTATCTGAGTGTATTCCACTTGTGTGCCAAGTTATATTGAAATCAGACCAAAACTGTAGGAAGAGTAGCATTTTGAAAAATTGTTTACAGAAAGACCCGGACGGAACGCCATCGCATAAGCTCATCCCTAGAGCTAATAAAGGCCAAAGAAGATCAAAATAATATTTTTAAATCTGTAATATTCCTAAACATACGACTGATGAATATTGCTAGATGAATCCCTCTGCCTGAAGTATGTATGATCTTGTCCTTTCCAAGGGTAATAATTAATAAAAGCAAAAATAGACTAGGATCATGAAAATTTTCATAACTGATACCAGAAAGATAAACCTTATGTAACAGTAGAGGAGAAAAATGCAGCAGACCAGACCGGGATTGGACCCTGGTCCCCTGATTCTCCAGTCAGGTGCTCTACCCACTGAGCTATCTGGTCACGGGCAATCGAGCCCCTTGACCACCACATTCCTCCCTCCTTAAAGGTCTTTGGCACTCCATTCCAAAGACCCCAACCCAGACTCATCCCTAGCAGGCCTCTCACCTGTCAGTTCTAGGGCATGGCACGGCACCAGATGTAATAGGAAAGGAGAGAAATACAGCAGACCAGAACTGGGATTCGAACTAGGGCCCCTTGAATCTCTGGTCAGGTGCTCTACCAACTGAGCTATCTGGCCACCAACGATCGAACCCTGCCGACTTCCACACTTAAACACTTAAATGACAACTTCAGGACATAGTGTATATTATACATTTATTGACTGGGTTCAAGGGCAGTGTGCCTTTTGTCACACCCAAGGACCAAATTATTTATCGGTCTTGGGCAAACGGTTAGTACATAGTAATGAAAGAAAATGACTCATTCTTTTGGAAAAAATGTTTTTTCTTTCTTTTTATCCTGCATACTTGCTTTGTCATTTCATAGCTTATCTGCAACATGACCACAACATAAGGATAGATCTTTAATTTCACTTTAGTATATGTATTTGCATCCATCCTTGCCATACTGAAAATAAAGAAGACTGTGTCATCTCATTTTATCAATTTATTATGAGCACAATAGAAATTTACATTACGCAAGTCTCCATTAATAATAATAAAAAAAAAAGCAAAATACATCTGTACCATACTGAATGAGAAATGTACAAGAATGTTATTTACAAGGATTTACATGTGAGAGTGTTAAAAAAAATTTACACATGCATACAGTACATATAATTTATCTTTGAATACACACACATAAAAGTAGCTTTATTTTAAACACCAAACATTTGGTGATATTTTTTTTTTGAGTGTAGGCAAGATGTCTTGCACGGTGATTTGGTTTTATAAAACATTCAATACAACCAATTCCAACAGTTGATCATTTTTCAGGACAAGATGCCTGTTTTTATCACATCCGATGACTTATGTACAAAATAATGATACAAACAAAATTATGTAAGCAACAATTTGGGGATTTGTTGGTAAATGACAAAAGCCTACCACATAAAACGTGGTGTTCTGCAGAAAAAGAAGGGAGAGAACAAAAATCAATAGTTGGTTCTAAGGACCGTTTATATAATGAGGAGGCATGATCTCCTGCACCAATCAATTTTTTTTGTGCTGACTACTAAGGCACAAATATCAAATCCATTCAGTGAAAACAAACACCAAGCTACAATAAATACAATGGATTTACACCTTATATATAAAAATACCTTTACTGCCATTTCTTACAGATATATCCTCATAACTTCAAAATCCAAAACCTAGAATGATTTCCCCAAATAGCACAAAGACTATTTTAACACAGCAACACAACTAGTGAATGTACAGCTATGACCAATACAAAACGAATACAAGGAAAAGAAAAGAACTATGTACAATCTCTTTCTATAGGCCTTCTTGATATTTAAGAATAACACAGATTATACGATGGATAAACTATTTTCCTTTCACAAACAAGTTCTGCGTAATGCCTTTCACCTATGCCATTGTGAGCGACTCTCTTAACACCCAATTATTTATCAACATGATTTCACACTGTAGACTACACATCTACATCGAAAACTGAGATTACATCAATAACTCCAGTTCACACTTTTTTTCCGTTTTACTATTTTTTTGGTTAGATTTTGTGCTTGTTTTAGTTGTTCCAGTATCCTCCCCCCACACTGTAAGGCTTGGCTGTGTTGGCCTTGGACTGGGATGTATTTTGTGCTTGGTTACCTCGGCTTGCACCAGGGCTAGAGTCCTACAAAATACATACATATATTACATTTTTTCACACAATATCAAATAACTCAAATATAAACATTTCTTCTTTGACATGTAATAAATAAATAGTTGAAACTATTAAAAGTGAAAGAAGCATTTCATGACATGGAAATTACTGGAGGACCATCCCTGGGCCAATACCTTGGCTAGGTCTAAGTCTCCTTTCTCTTCCTGACTAATGAATATGTAAATAATACAGTTGTACATGTACACATTTGAATAAACTTGATGATTTTTATGCATGAATGATAAACGTTACATTGAGTATCTGAGCCAACTAGTCCCACTAAACATTACATCTCAATAGTTCAATGATATAACTCCAGAGAGAGGTAAATTTCCAATAGCATTTTTACCTGGTGAAGTCCAGGGTGCAGCATTTGAGAATGGGGCATCATGGGAACAAATGGAGCTGGGGTTCCATAAGGATTTGTTGGGGCTCCCATGGGGCCAGCTTGTGTTCCCGCTGCTAGAGGCAGGCTAAATGGGGGAGGGGTTCCTGCAGCAAATCCTTGCTTGTCAAATGCCTACAACACAAAGAGAAATTCATTTATACCTATCATGGTTAAAAAAGAAGTGGATTCAGTATATTTCAATTAGTAGATATGGTTAGAAACAGTAACTTAATAATACCTGTTTATTATCACAAACAAAAAGTGACAATACATGCTAATTGCCAGTTATGCCTTTCTCCCCTTTTTTAAATTTTAAAATCTGGCTAAAAAAATCATATTTTCTATAATTTGTACAACTTCAACAAGACAAAGATTAGATATAAGACAACTATCCACACTAATTATATTTCCCATGACCACCAAATCAAAACATGCTTTAGTGTCTGCACAGTAGAAGGAAGGTATATATTTACATCATGCGTTCGTTGGTGTCTGGGAGGATAGGATTTTGTAACTCGGTCACCCAAATTAAGCATCTGAAAAGCAAAACACTAACTTTCATGCCCATTAGTTATTTATCTTACCGATAAAGGGTACAATTTGAACAATACTTTGCACTTTAAAATATCTTTAAAAAGATCTATTGTCACCACTTTAATACCTAGGATTCCTACACATTTGATTCACTTACAATGTTTCAATATTATTATTCCTGTTGTTTTAATCTATTCAATTTACATTGAATCTAGCTTGTGAATACACTGCAATAACTTCTTCCATGCCAGTTTACACTTGTTGACGAACAGTATTTACAGGGCTACCAATTTAGTGATATTCAGGTACTAGTACTTATTGAATTTCTATAATATAAATGCTATATTCCCAAAATGTGCATTGTCAGTGCTTTTTAGAGTCTGAATAAATACAGTGTGTATTGATATTCTCAATCTATGTTATATATATAAATAAGAAATACAAAGTCATATGCATGTTTCTGATATATGTATATAACCTATATATATATATGTTTTGTTAAATGTGGGTAAGCCATAACCTTTCTACAACTACAATACTACTTTTACGTAAATCACCTTCTGAATTTACTAAATTAAACAAATGTTGATTAAAACAATTCTTATTCAAAATCATCTTTATATATATGTACATGTATATGCTATCTTGCAATTCAGAAAGTGATTTACCCCTCTTTTTTTACACCTTGTGCTTTGTTTACCTGTGTATGAGATTTGCCATATCCTGTACCAGTTAGATCTGCAGCTGTCACTGTTCCTCCTATACAAACAAAACATAACTATCATTAACATATCTTCTACTGGAAAAAAAGCATCATCTTTATTTATAACAAACTTCCTTACCAGTAATATTCAAGTTAAAAATGTAACCTTAACAATTATACCAATAACTTCTGATGTTGCAAGAAAACCATACACTTCTTGAGATGCAAATATCAAAATGTAACCAAGGTACAAGTACATGCATAATAACCTGATTTATTTACAAATTTATCTTTTATTGAGTTCGAATGTCTGTTTATACTGTCATTGTCTTAAGTTACTTTAACTGGGATGTTAAAATTTTAGCATTTGGGCCATATAAAATTGAAATCTTGGTTCTCAGGCCCGCGCGCATCCGTTTTGAGGTAGCCACATTGCCGATTTTATTGTATTTTTGATAAAATAAAAAGTTGGTATTGCGGTTCCGGGAAAAAAAATAAATGTATTCAAATATCACTTCCGGTAGCCATTTACAATGAGATTTTGGCTATTAATACGAGGACATTACCTACGATGTTTGCTGTTAAGCAATGGATAAAGCAGAAATTTTAACCAGAAATGGAAAGTATATCTGTGATTAAAAAAATTTCTTTATGTTAAAATCTCTCTCTCTCTCTCCAGGGAATTAAAAATAGCCCGTATAAATATTTAAATGTTGTAAATTAATACAAAATTCTCATCTCTCTCTTTCTCTCTCTTTTAGTTAATTCTCATTTATAACCTCAAAAACCTCAGTACATATAAAATCATTGCCCTGTCTCTGTTGTTAAAGAAATTTTGTTTAACAAATAGATCAATAAAAGAATCACCTAGCAGCTTATCGGTACAATAGCAACCTATACAAGACCTAATACTGCTTCCAGGTTAAGTTGATAATATTACCTGAAACAGAGGAAACTTTATTCTGGGACTGATTCAAATAGCTGGATTTAGAGAAATCTGATGGCTGGGTCAAGTCTTCATAACCTGAAATGGACATTCAATTCTGTCATTTACTGTCCAAATTTATCCCAGGTGTTCACACCATTCATCATTTTTTTTTAAATACATACATGTAATTAAAAAAATTTATATTTTTTTGGTACAGCAGTTTATTGAGACTTCTAATCTGAGTACTTGTTGGTCTTGCGTACCTTGTTTACTTCCATAGTGTGATCCATACTTCTGAAACTGAGCTGAGGCTGTTGTTCCAGCATGTGCTGTGTTTGTTACAGGGGGCACCTAAAATTGTATAAAAGTATATTTACATTCAACAGGTATTCCTTGTAAATTTTCAATATTTAATTCCCAATAATGGTTGTAAACAGTCAAATCCTGTGAAGGCCGAAGGTTAAAGTATATCATTCCCATTGAAGTTTATAAACTTGTTATTTATTACTTATATATACATTTGAGACAGACAATTGAATATTTTCGAATTTAATTTATTGCACTAACCGTCCGTCGTAGATTTTGAAAAATGACGCAAGGTGTAAATCGGCTTGCATGGCGGTTACGCTTCAAATTCATTAGGCTAAGGAATCTATTTCGAAGGGAATATTTTGTGAAAGGCTACTTGTGATCAGTAATAGTGAACAGATTGTTGTCTGGGAATATTTTATTCGTGAAAATGATAATCGATGCTGAAAAGACACAAGAAACACGTCCGAAGTTTGATGATAATTTTAAAAAGTTGGAGGAATTTCGGTCGCTGGAAAGGGATGGATGGATGGATCCGATGGACTGAGACACTTGTCCGAGCCAGTTAATTTGCAATTTGATCAAAAATATTCCACGGTTTCAGTAACTAAAGGCATACATATCGTAAAACACTGACAGCTTTATATTGAACTACGAAAACACCGAGGTGTTTGGCAGCTATTCATGGCATGATTGCAAAGATATTTTCCAACAGATTTACACATTTATTGTGAGTAAAATTTAAAGATAAAATAAAAGTTTATCATGAAAATTTAACCAAAGGTCTATCCAAAAAATAAGGATGACCGTTAGAGACTGTGTAGCTGACAAAAGTGAAGAAAAATGTAAACAAATGCTAGGCTCCTAGTTTTCTCTATGTACACAGGTTGAATCGATAGCCCAAAAACTTTATGAAATACTTGTTTACATTTAAAATAAAATAATTATCATTTTACCTGCTTATTTTATTCATTTTTATACACGAAAAGCAAGTAGAGCTAGTCATTTTATAATTTATGTACCGGTAGATATTATTGCACCGTGTGACTAGGTCACGTATTGCTTCTGACAAACTTCATACAGAATTGAAGATATTTTCTCTCTGTATGTTTATATAATGGAGAGATACCACAAATGTATATATTTCCCAATAATGGTTGTAAACAGTATACAGTTAAAGTATATCATTGAGGGAGTCAGCAAGATTCCAGTTCCCCCAAGAGCAAGCCTATTTCCCGAGGCACTTGTGCCAATGGAAATAGGCTTGCTTGAGGGGGACTGGAATCTTGCTGACTCCCTCAATGATATACTTTAACTGTTTTATTATACCAATACAAACATCTAAATCTTCATCAGCTAAAACAGCAAATCTTGAGCTTGCCATTTCTGATGTCGTTTGCTACCAGTAAACTAGTTCTTTTTGATTGATATGGGACCAGTTGACTCGCAATGCATTTCGATTCATTAATGAATATTCATGAGTTTATTCGGAACATTTCTAAGTTTGTCGTAAGTTTAAAGAAAATGCTAAGTGTTCTGAATAGGTGTGTATCAGTTCATTAAAAAAACGAACTTTTTTAGCAAGTAATCAGTCTGTTTTGCAGGGAATCGGTTTATTCACAGTAAATTTCAGGAAATCGGCAAAAGATATCAATTTACTTTTAAATAGTGAAAAATCAGTAGAGGTAGAATAATTTTAAATAGCTGAATGAGTTCTATTGGTAAGCTACAGAATAAAATCATCAATCAGTTTATACATCCATGTGTGCAACATAAATACAAATTGAAAGCACTTGTGAATTTAAATGCCATTATTAATAAACATTATCAATAAAAATTTTCAACTGTCAGATGCAGCGATGTAAAACATGCAACTCTAGAAAAATACCATGTAGCACTCAGTATGCACATTGGTTTTTGCTACCTTAATTAACTTTGAAGATACAAGAACTGTATACTTAAGGTCACACCTACACAAAATTTTTACCCAAACTAGTTTTGAATTTTCAATATGTAAACTTACATAAATTGTCCATAACAATTTCCATACATGGAGACAAATGAGGATAAGATATAATATATATCCTTAACTTTGGATTTACATATAATGAGACAGATGAGGATTAGGCAAAAAAAGGCAATATATCAGAGTATGACTCCTCCCTCATCAATTCTTGAGAGGAGATATGAAAATAATAACAATGTTAATCTTACAGGAAACATGGGGGTTCCTGGGAACTGGAAGCCTGCGGCGGCAGCAGCATTCGGTAGTACAGATGGGTAGTAGTATCCGTAGGGCAGGTTGATGAAGTGCTGCTGCTGTTGTTGTTGCTGCTGGTGTGTGGACTGAGTGGACGCCTGTGTCGTAGGAATGGGAGACTGGGCATCCACCCTTGTCAGCTTATTGTCTGTTCCTGAAAAGTAACTCAATCTTTACATACGCCTCTGCTTACCATTCTGTCTCCTTTCACACTTATTTATAGTTTCAGATTGCACAATTTTTTCGTGTTGCTTTACAATTTCTAACAGTCTACAGACACCAAACCATGACACAATTTTTTAGTGTGGTATTATAATTCCATTCCAATGACCCTACCTGAATATGGCACATTTCCAAGTGTTTGTTGGTCTCGTCCGGCTATTGTTGTTGGAACTCCAAATCCACTGAGATCATAATTGTAACCAGGCTTTATAAAAGAAAATAATGAAACATTTCACACCACAAACCACTGGCTGCAGATGAAAATTCTGGCAAATTCTTATTTGATCTTCAAATTCATTTTATGTATTCCTCCTTTACCCAGTAAATTCGAGACATTGATTTTCCCCTTGCTCATAAAACAAACACTATGAATTACATAGTTCACAAGTTCTGGTTAAAATTAAATTGAATTCAAATGCTGAGCAATATATCCACCCAAACTTTCAAACTGTAATAAGCTCTAAGGTAAGAATTATGTAATAAAGCAGTCTTTCAAAACTCTTCTACTGACAGTTAACAGATGCAGGAATGAACATAAATCATATTGCCAATTGATACAAAAATTGTCACCAAAAACAAACTACACTCACTAAGGGCAATCTCTGTTGAAGCAATTGTAGATCCTCATATCCATACAAAGGTTGTTGTAGACCCTGGAAAAACAGATTCAAAGCTCAAATATAATATACCACTTATGTGCAATTGAACAGAAGATAATAGATTTATCATTTAAGAGGTTTGCTAGTTTCCTGACTTAAGAGTTTCAGGTTTGATTGACTATCCCCCTTATCGTTTATACACTCACAAAGTACGGTAGTGTGCCTTGTCCGACAATATACTGTGGATTTCCTAGAAGAACCCCTGGAGGAAGGTTTGGAGGAGCTTTACTGCTCGAAACTGAAGCTGAAAACAAAGTTTACTTTCTTATTTGCAAATTTTCAATGGCATCACACATTCAATGAACTTTTCACTCATAAAAAGAAAGCAGCAGCTAAATTCCATCTTCAAAACACCTGCATTTTAAACTAAGCAAGCTGCAGAACTGGGCCAAGAATGACTGCTAGAAGCTAATGCTTTAAAGAGTTTGAAATTTCCTCTTACTACTACTATTACTGGTGATGGAGTAAGTTTTGGATACACTGTTACCGGCTGTAGACGGCAGGGACGATGACGTTGTCGAGGGCGTACTTGTTCCTGTGGATAACGATGCCGTGCTTGTTGTACTTGTTAGGTTAGCAGTTGTTGACGACGATTCATACTGTAAAGAAGAAAAAGAAAAATATCGTGGTTATTCTGTACACAAACAGATGTGCAAAAGTAGCAAAAGACATTTACTGATTAAAAAACTAAGAATCTATGACATGCGGAGTGGACTATACTCAGTACCACATACTTAATCTACAAAAGAGCAATAGTAAAATAGTTGGTACTGTGTTTCACTTCCCTTCATAGAATGTTTTTTTATATTGAGCTGCATTATTTAGTGCAAGAATTTCAAGAGCAGTCTCAATGTTTTGCTGGTTCCCTTCACATTGCATACTTCTTATGATTGCAATCTGAAGTCTGAAGTCAAGGTAAGAAAAATTCTGGTTCAGTTCATATCCACCTCAATTGCACCTCTCCATGTTTTTAGCTTGAACTCCAAATATCAAACGGGTCTAAAGATGTGCCTAGTATGGTGTTTTAATTGACCTTGAAGAACTGGGCCAAGATCAAATATTCAAATAACGTGTATTTCATTGATCTGTGTTCCAAGTATTCACATTTTTTGTCTAAAACTTATTTGTCGTCTGGATGTTTTTAAAACTGATCACAATTCAACAACTTGACCAATATCTACATTTTAAGGCATTCATACCATATTTCATATTTGAAGTTACAAAACTGAATGGTACTCAAGTTACAGCCAGGACATTTTTTTTCTCTAAATAGGCAATAGCCAAAGTCAGAAATTTGTTTGGATACATCTATTCTTAAATTTTTTTTCGTTGAAGTATTTCTCAACCTGTGTTACAAGTTTTTAAGTCTTCGTTCATTTAATGTTCTAGATATATTCAATGACTTAGGTGCAAGTTTCGTTGCTTTTATTTTGACATTGTAAATAACTTTTTAAAAAGAAATCAATGCATTTTTTAGCTAAAAAAATTCGGAGAAATTATAGACAGTAATACCTTTCTATTTACATTTTAAAATAAATTCTCGCTACAATCTTGCATCATTGATCTATGTTCCAAAAATAAATTAGTTCTCCATGGAAAAAGATTATAGATATTTTCAGATAAATCTGTTGTTTCCGAATTTTGTTTATTGTTTTATACATGTCAAATGGACTTTTCTGCCAGCCAATTTTGTTTTTTGTTTTTATCCTATCATGATAAGAAAGTGAATCTTACCGTAAAAAATTACTGACAAGGGTGACTTTCAATTAGGATAATAATACTCCATTGTTTGCATCATTTAATATTTGCGGAGTGTTAATTAAAGTCTCATTTTTCGATTAATAGCCTTATTTTTCAACTTTTCATTATGACTCATAAGAAAAACAATTAAGGACATAAGTATTCTTTAGAAAAATTTATAAAACTTTTTAACAAATTGTAGATTTTTTTTTTACCCAACTTGTTTTGAAAACTCATATATCATAGCACACTACATGTACATGGAAAAAGACAAAAAAGTTCATACTAAGTGACGCATGTCCCTAAGTAGCAAATTACAAGCACATTTATATTTCAAATCCATTTTATACCTGTGGTGATTGCCTTGTGTCAATTGAAGAATCTTTCACAGACATCTTGGACAAAGAATCTCCAAGTTTGTTGGGATTGAGAGGTGAAGTTTGTAAGTTAGATGGCAAGCTGTTTTGATGCTGGGATGAGCCATAGGACTGAGATGAGTATCCACTCTGGCTCTGTGACACAGTGGTGGACAGCCCCGACTGACTACTGTCTCTTTGGTATGAATTGGACTGGCTGACAGTGGCCGAGTATGCACCGGGGGGCTGCGAGTCCCTGTGGTAGGACTGACTATTCTGTTGGTAAGATGAGGGCGATGACTGATGATAGAGAGAATTCTGGCTGTTTTGAGAGGCCGGGCTCTGATTTGGGTATGTCGTGGGTACAGACTGATACAGAGAGTTCTGCGAGGACTGAGAGGTGTTATAACTACCTCCACTTCCGTATGAATTTTGATTGGGGAAAGATGAACCTGACTGTCCATAGTTTTGATGGTACTGATTTTGATACTGAGAAGCACTGGAGTTGTAGGAACTTTGACCAGATTGATACTGGTTCTGACTAGCTTGGTATTGGCTAGACCCAGACTGGTACTGGCTCTGGTAGGAGTTCTGTTGAGTTGTGTTAAAGGCAGTGCTACCCATTCCACTGCTGTTTGACAGACCAGTAGAATTGGAGAGTCCTGAACTTTGGAGATTCCCTGTGTTTGATAATCCAGATGAATTACTCAGGCCAGGAGCACCTGTTAGAGAAGATGGATCCCGAGAACTTGACAATCCAGAGGAATTCACTAATCCTGATGTGGTTGACATTCCTGTTGAGTTTGTTAATCCACTTGAGTTTGAAAGACTTGACACTGACAATCCTGCTGCATCTATTGATGCTAAGACTGAGGGATCTCGAGTAAGACCTGGGGCCTCTCGAGTGAGCCCTGGGGCCTCCCTTCCAAGTCCTGAAGAGTTTGAAAGTCCCGAGGAATTGCTGAGTACAGACTGAGATTGGTATGAAGACTGGTAACCACTCGGGCCAGCCTGAGAATAACTCAATGTGGAATCTGTTTTGCTCGTTTGCATGGAATCTGTTAAATAATGCAATGAAAAAGATTAAGTCCATGATTTGTTAAACATAATGGCTCATTATCATTAAGATATTTGCACAGAGTATTTTTTGAATTTTTTTTTACAATCAGTTCTGTGATTATGAGGTACTTACTTTGATTTGATCCCGGTCTTGTTGATCCTATCATTGGACTGGATTTCCTGTCCGTCTGAGATTGAGGGAATGGCATTGACTCATGAGGACTCCTCTGAAAACAGTGATTACCATTTTAAAACTTGTTAATTGTTTTTTTCAATAAAGAAAATAATTATCGTCCTTAACATTTTACACTTTCTTCTTAAATCATATATATTTAACACTAAATTAAGCCTTAAATTTCCTCAAAATAGAAATTTAAATATTACTTCCAATTTTAAAATATAGGTGACTTTTGACCATAAGGATCATCTTACCTTGTTCTGGCCAAGAGCTGGGGGCTCCTTCTTGGTAGGAGTTGTGTAGGGTGAATTATGAAACATGCTGTTTCTGGGAGATTCCTGACTGGCCAAGGATGAGCTGCTATTGGGAGGGGTGGTAATCCCCGACACCATCACAGATTCGTTTTGTTGAGATATGTGATTGTTCATTGAAGTATTTGTGCTGAAGTTAAAATATTTCTATGCCAATGAAATCTATCACATCTTTCATGAATGAGTAGTCAATCATAAAATCATTTGTGTTTAAGATAAAAACATTTCAATGTCAATTACATCTATTGAATCCATGTTTGATGGATAATTAGTCAAAAACATTAAAATTTGTACAGTCCTACTGTCCTTTGAAAACCCACTACTAGCTTTCAAAATTGAAAAGGTCTACAATAATAATGAAATCAAGTTACCTGCTTGGTAGGCTACTAGCCATGCTCTTGGAGACTGGTGAATCACTGGAGGATCCAAAACTAAAGAGAGAGGACTCAGCAGAGGACTCCCAGTTCCCAAACTGCACATCTAGATTACCCATCTGGTGATTCTGGTGTCCAGGCATCTCTACAGCTGAAGCAGGAATCTGAAGAAGAAAAGACCAGTGTGCTATAAATCTTTTCTGCTGCATTGATATTATTGTGATTTCATTTTCCTTGGACATATGCTAAATCCAGCTCTTGAGCAAAATTGGATTATTTCATCAAACTGAATAAGCCCAACAAATGCTTCGAACAAATTTTTACTTTGTAACAAACAATAGGCCTAGAAATGAATACCTTTGAAGGAGGAGGTAACTTTGACCTCTGAGGTTTAGGTCGTTGTTGCTGTAACACAGACTGTAGATTCCCTGTAGATGAACTGTCTGAACTGGAATTCTGTGAAACAACTGGCAGTAAATTACTGCTACTTATTTGGTCCAAGTTGGCATTAGCTGCAATGTTCTGACCCTGCTGTGTAAATGTCGACACCAAAGCATCCACAGCGGCTGAGGCCTGAGAATTGGAGAGAGAGGAGGTCATGTCACCTGCTAGGGAGCTAGGGAGCTGGGAGGCCAGGGAGGAGGTCTGTAGGTGATCGGTCAATGCTGAGGTTGTCAGGGTACTGCTACTGTAGGTAGACCGGCTGGACTCCTGACTAGAATACTGAGCTCGATTCCCAGAACCAATCTGTACAAAACAACAGGGGTTTAATTATTAAAAGTCATAATAGCTTTACATTTAATATATCAATAACTCTGACCCATTACTTTAGATCTGAATTTGTCAAATAAGAAATAACAAGGAAAGCAGATTTAACATTAGATTTAACATCGTCAGTTAAATCTGAATTTGTCAAATAAGACATACATGTAATAAGGAAAGCAGATTTAACATTATCAGTTTACTTACGCCAATTGAGTTTTTAATGGACTCTGTAGCTTCCTGGTTGAATTGGGAGATAAAAGCTGATTCTGTGTCATTGTTGGACTTTTGAAGTAGAGTTCCAAGATCTAATCTTTTAACAGTATAGTGGTGATTAAATAAAATTGTATTTTACAAAAAAAAACGTGCATCATACATGTTCATCAGACAAATGCCTTAAATTATTTCCTCAAAATTCAAATTCGTTTGCTGCTAATACATCTATGCCTATATCCTGAAAAATGCTGCTAATGTAAGCAATAAAAGAAAAACAAAAGTTTTCTTCATATAGGTAAACCCTCATCACAGATGAATGTTCAGCAAAATGCATTAGTTACAAGTTCATCATTGGAGATCTTTCATTAATGACTGAAAAATGCACATCATTGGAGTATACATAAAGCTGTTAGTATTGCATTTCTATAAATGCACATCTATGCTAGCTTGGCACATAAAGTTTCTTGGGAATGAATCTTCTTTGCAAACTTTTAAATTTACAGTTAGATTCTTCATAACATCTAAACGGACTCTGCCAGTGTGAATCCCTCATGATTTCAACATCCATGAAAGTTTGGTCAAGGTAGAGCTTATGACTGCTTGGGAATAAGCCAGTTGCAAAATTAGATGCAGCATCTGGAGTATGACTAAGAACTAGGCATTCCTATTTGCATTACCATTTCCCAGAGCTAAAAATGAAATTCATTTTACCTCTGACCAATTCCATTTGAAGAGTCATTTAAACTGCTGGTATTTTCAGATTTCTGAGTGTTTTGTGTTGATGCTGTAAACACCTTGCTTTCAGTTAGCTGCAACAAAGGAAGTATTCTTTAATCAAGAAACAACCCTTGAGGGCATTGAAATTACTGTAAATAGTAACAATCGTTTAGGAGATGAAGTATTAGTTATACATATTACAATAATTAAGTAAGTTCTACACTTTAATCTGATTTATATGCACATAAATGTTCACATTATTATCTTATATATGTTTTTGAATATCAGAGTTGAATATTCATACATTTCCTGTCCACTGATCTTCATTCCAATCTTCTACATCTCCCCAACCACCTGGTAGAATAAAAGGTAAAATGTAATATATAGAAGTTCTTGAGAAATACAAATGTCTAAAGGGATGATGGATTCATTTCTCCTCTGAAATTTGCATGTACATGTGAATACGAATATGTATGCATTGTTTTAATCCAATGTCGAGTTTTTGAAGGTATGGACTAGAAAATGTCAGCAACTAGTCACTAAAACATTTTAACAGTTCAACCTGAATTCCGTGTCTTATATTTGCATAATAAAAGTACCTATGGAGGTATTCTCTTTCTCAGCATTCGCTGCCGTCTCATTGGTCCATGTGTCAATCTGAGGACCCCCCTCAAATCTCTGTGGTCTGTTATAACTTCTGCAAAGAAAAAATACAACTTTTATTCCTATTTTACATAGATCTCGTTCTCTTAAAGGACCTGGCTTTTTTTGTGGTTTTTTTTTTAATTTTTTTTTTTTATTTTCCTGACCAACACTGGTGCATAAGATGTTCATTCACATAAAATCTATAAAGGAAATTTGCACTTTGTTTGTGACATTTCTTTTGACCACAGCTTGTTGTTAATACATTTATTTTTCGTATGTAAAAATAAGAAAAAAAAGTTTTTATAAATTATTCTCTTTTAAAATGTCAATCCAATTTATACCAGACTATTTTTATGTTTATAAAACCACAGAAAGAATTAAAATGAAATATTCATATTTTGTATGAATTCATGCTGTCAGTGTTTTGTTAAATTTTCTTAATCATATCATTATTCCATTTAGTACTTCTTATTTTACCTTATTTTTTATTTTTATTGGAGGGGGAGGGAATATTGATTGTATGTGTTCAATCTTCAAAAAGGGTAATTAATTAATAATGTTAACATGGTCCAATTCAACGTGGTCTTTGTGTTTTTCTGTGAAAAATGAAAGCTGCATGACCTTTACATAAACAACTATGACGGAGAAAATGCCTTTGTTTTTCCAGCACGTACATCATGCTATTTGCATGCTTTACATTGAATGCAAGCGAATTTGTCAAACATTCACTGTACTCATATTTGTGGATAAGGCGACCATAATTTGATTTTTAGTTTTACGGATTTTTTTTCAAGAAAGGTCCTCGGAGGACGAAAAAAAAAAAAAAAAATCAAAAATCATTCTAGCAACGACCTTTTTCACATATAAAAAGTCACACATTTCACTGTAGTATAAAACAAAACAATAAACAACTTACAAGATATGTTTTTTTAATATTAATACACATTACTTGTATAAATGTTGTTATTTATAAAAATGACAACTTTTAATTCAAACATTGTTTAATATGAGAACCATTTAATATTTGAAATTATATAAATTTAATTATGTTCTTCACTGTATAGTTTGCACATTCATTTGAATGTCATTTGAATAATAAGGGTAAATATCGAAGTTTAACTTGGCAATTAAAAGATTTAATAATATTCTGCAGACGATCTGAGTTTCAAGCTTTTAACTGATGGATGAATGGATTTTTCTCATTATAAGGAGCAAGACAACTGTTTCCTGGATTTAATAAAGATCTGAAATTGAAGGAATTGGAAGTACCTGTTAGCCAAACTTAAATCTTTAAACATTTTTAAAAATTACATGCGTAATCTATTGAGAATGAATTAGATGGATTCTTAGATCCTGCATTCTTTTTTTCACTCTTAGTACATATGATATCAAAGCATTATTGTAGTCCTGTTCCAATCTGCTAATATTATATTTTGAAATTCAGAAAACTTTATTACCCTGTTTAGCTACTTAAATTCAAAGAAGTCTTCTACAGGTACTGTCAAGTTGCTCTGCAGTTTCAAGGGCTTTTATATACTGGTGTTGATGTAGGATTTGCTAAGTCACTGAATCTCATAATACGCAGTGTTCCCTCTGCAGACTCTTTATTAGTTACCATGTACTTGCTTTCATTTCCTCTTTAAATTATTAATAAAGTACTATAGTTTATGTCTTTCCTGGTCACCGTATTATTTATGGTGGAATTGTTTTGTTTTAGGCGCATATAAACTTGTTTGCAGCAAAGTATCAAAAAAATTCATATCGTTATTTACCGCCCTTTTTTGCAAAATTTCCACATCTGGTATCTCTGTCTTTGATAAAAAAAAACACTTTTTATGAGGATAATGAGCAATTAGAACTGCAATTACATCTGGTAGCACAGTTGACACCTTGATTATTACCTGTTATCAGTGGCAATAAGCAGATTAGCTACCGGTAAACACTGCATGACAGCCATTTTTGTTTTGACTTGTCGGTATTTTACAAATCGAAGAAGGTAAAAAATGCCGGATATTTTCGAAATCGGTAGAAACAGCAATTAAAAAAATAGAGAGAGACATGCGATGGGGAGGTTTCAGAATTGGTAGACTCTCGATAAAATCAAAGTTGACAGCTCACCTTCTACCATTCTGCACATGTGTTTTTTTTTACGTTTCTGACTGATTTGCTTTTATAAAACACAGGTTTGACACGAGCGGATTGAAAAATTCCGATTTTATTTTTTTTTTGAAATGCAAATTTTTAGAGTCGGCGGATCCGTAAAACTAAAAATCAAATTATGGTCGCCTAAATCTTTACAAATACATAAAGCATAAAAGTAATACATGATTATCAACAGTGCCTCTTTAAAAAATCTATAAAACAAGTTACCAGAAGTGTCTGACTGTCACTCTTACCTTCCTCCTCCTCCACTGCTGCCCCCGCCTGCACCCCTGGCCCCTCCTCTACCCCAGCCCCTCCCTTCTCTGACTTTTACCTTCCTCCTCGTCCACTGCTGCCCCCTCCTGCACCCCTGCCTCCTCTCCCCCGGCCCCTCCCTCGGCCCCGCCCACGACTTCCCTCTCCGTCACGCTCTTTGTTACTGAATGTTCCAAAATTACTATCACTAAAAATAAATTATCATTTTACTCCAGTGAAAATATCATAATTAAACACAATGCAAGTATGTATTCTCATTGCAGTATTACACATACAATGACTTCATTTTTCATGTATTTCAAATGCAAGAGATACAACAAGGAAAGTAGCATCCTTATTTTTTCCTAAAATAACAATGATATTAAAACCTATGCCCTATTCCTTAACTTTTGCAACAAAGGAAGTATGTACTCATACCAAATAAAAATAAAACTGGACCTTTTTAAACATGAAAAACATCCCCTCTACAAATGTGATAAATGGAAAATAATCACTTCATTTTCAATGTTTTTTTGAAGAGAAGCATAAGATATGTTATTTACTAGATTTTATGTGCTGATCCAATTATTTTTCTGTCATCATTAAATTGGAAATGCTTTTCTGTAAGTTTTTTTTTTATTCAAATATAATGGTTTATAGATTATAAAGGCAGTTCATTGGCAGTTTTTAGTTGCCTTTATGTTTATTTTAAAAGAGAAAATACAAAATTCTACATATATACCCCCTTCTTTTTTTATTTATTAGAATGCAATACCACCTAACACATTTTTCCTTAGACCTAAGGAAATTTGCTCCAATAACAAGCATTAAAACTGCTGTCTTTATAATACTGATATTTATACTTTTTGGGTGATAATTATATGCTACTGATTATATCACATGCAAATGAATAAATATTTTTCATTGAAATGTAATCACTAGATTTAACTACCTCTCAGTATCACCGTTCATCTTGTCATTACGGAAGTAGTCTGGTCGGTCTCGGCCCCTCCCCTTGTTAGCCAGGCGGGGAGGGCGGGTGTCCGGTCGTTTGTTTCTTCGGTTGCTACTCTCGGGTCGATCCCGGCGGTCAGGTCTCTCGGATTCTGTGTTCTGTTCGGGTTTAGGAGCCTCCTCCTCAATGTGATTACTGGTCGGGTCTGATTTGGAGTTATTGGAGTTAGAGGAAGGGGTCTGTCTTTTCTTCTTCTTTGTTGTCTCCCTCCATTCACCCATTCCCTGAAAAAAGATATTTAAATGATAGAGACACATGTATGAAATATCATTCAAAATCATGAATTTCTATAAAGGAAGGAATCTGTTGGTTTTTTAAAACACTTTTTAGTACCTCCAACTTTCTACAATTACTAATTTTTGAATTCTTGTTCGGATGAGCTTTGAACTGAGTAATTCCTACAGGATACCTTGGGCATGCATGTATAAAATATGTGTTTGTTTAAAAATAAAATATTCTATTTTCAAAATTTTGCAATCATGTTACACTGTTACAGAGTTTAGCTATACAACAGTTAAAACTCGTTTTAAATAATTAGACTACTTGAATTCACTCTTACTAATGCATAGATTTGTAAAATTTCATGTCACTGGAGGTTTCATTTCTTTTTTGTACTGTTTATTTTTGTTCTGAATCATTGAGATGTCAATAAGCCATTGCTATTTAATCAACTGAACCTGATTTTTGACAAATACGAACAGTGTGATTTAACATGAAATGAGGGAAAATGAAACAAGTTTTACCTCCTCAAAATCATTCTCCAGCAGCATGTTCACTGCTCTGTCTGTGTCATTTTTGCAGTCTTGTAAAGCTATTTCACACACATTTTTGTCTCGTCCAGTAATTTCCATAACCTGAAAAATTCAAACATTAATAGAAAACATTCCTATAACAAATATTTTCTTTGATATTTCCTAGAAAATTTCTGATTTTTAAAAACAGGTGAGTAGTGAAACAGCTTGTAAAATCCAACAATTTACTCTGTTTGATCATAATATATCACTTGATGCAGAAAAGACATATATTTTGTTGGCAGTAGCTATACATTTCTCTACAAATCAACTTGAGAACTTGCACAATTTTACTTATTATACTTTCACCTTAAATACTAAAATTTGATTGGTTTTGACGCATTTAACAATCTGTAATGTTACCCTCAGTGTTAGCAATACATTTGATAATGGGTAACATTACAAAAATGTTATGTTCATGCAAATCAGGTGTGTATGGTACACCATAGAATTCTCAGAATATCAGTTGTACGTTTGAAAGAAGCCACACAAACTTGACACTCATGTGCACTCAATGGATGAAATTAACTTTTACCTCAACTCTTGATTCAGAAAATATTTTAAGGTCACTGTACACCTCTTTACCCTTAATCTTTGAGTGAAGTCTGAGCCCTTTGTATCAAGGGGAGAGAAAATATGCTCAGGACAAATGAAAATGGACAGAGAGGGACAGAATGATCACCATAGGGTACCAACTTAAAAATCCCTAACAACCCTGGGTCAAGAAGAATCCGCAGATTATAAGCAATGTTCTTCAAGTATAAATTGTTAATGCTTTTAATTCCTTTAAAAGTAATGGTCCTGGCATGATTGCAAGCAGATGGACAGACAAATGAATAGGGTGATCTCACGTATCCCCCAAATTTCTAGCCTGGAGGCCATAAAACTTAGATGAGCTCACTTTTACCAAAGGAACTAAAAGTGGAAAAGTGAGACTGAGATCAAAAGTGAGCTCATTTAAGTTTTATGGCCCCCTAGCCAGAGTAGCGAAAGCAAGATTATCAATAAGTCGGCAAATTGATCAAATTATGGATGAGACTTGATTTGAGTTGACTTAAACTTATTCAGTTTGAAACAGTTGAATAACTACCTGGTTGACTTTCTTTTCAAATTCTTCATCCTCTTTTGTCACAGATGTAAGCTGTGCTAGTCTCATTTGTTCTGGAGTGGCCTGTTAAAAAAAAAGGAAAAGCCTCAATATTTAGAGATTACAAATATCAAAATGATAGATGTTTTAAAAACTATAATTCCTCAGTCCTACAATTTTGAACAATATTACCCTGCTGCTTGTTGACATGTTCAACACATTATTTCCTCTCTTGTACCATATTAATTGATGAAACACTAACAAGTAATGAAAATTCATAACAAATTGTATAACCTTATATCTTTCAGATGAAACATAGACAATATACTGTAGAATGGAGCATTCAGGGTTTTTTATAACACAAAATAAAGCAGTTGGCCTATTTTGATTCATTAAGTCAGCATACCTTGGCCTTATCTGATGGTCCCTCTGCTCTTGACTGTGTTGTGTCTTTAGCAGTTTTGTAATGCTTCTCCTTATTTGGCCGGTTGCTGGCACGACTCGTGCTCAGTGTGGTACTCATAATACACTTTATTTACACACTCTATATACAATAGATATATCTGAAAAATAACAACAATGATTAGTATGCATTAAATTTGATTAAAAGCAAAATTAAATAAAGGCGGAATACAGGACTAATTATTTTGGTAAAACAAAGTTCCTAAAATATTCCTCTCCATGGTTTTTCACGATTCACTACAAACACATTTTCTTGTACGGTATGATCAAATATTGTCATTGGAATGGTGAAAGTTCAAGAGAAATGGAAGGCATGGTTTCATGAAAACCAACACTGCATTCTGTAACTATGACCATGATGACACAGGGCACAGCAATAAATTTTTACACCGAGAAATATGATAAAGAAAACATTTTCTTCGAATTTCATCATCAACACTAAATACACAGCAATTCTGACCAAAGACATGCTTACTATGCTTATAACCAAGACGATAAATTTTGTGAAATTGTAGCAACCGTACAAACCGAAAAAAGAACGGGAAGTTAATTCTATGACAGCAACGAATCTTATGTTCACTTACAGTATCTTCAATAAAGACATATACAACAGATTCGTCAAAATTTATAAAAATATTACTTTAAATATACTACACGTTCTGACACATCCCGCATTTCATGAATAACAAAACAAGGGATACGAACATGTGACGCCATGCTCGATATTCATTTACGCTTCAACTTTCGTTTCTGGTTGAGAAAAAGATTTACAACTACAAGATCCGATAAAATCATCACCTAAAGGATCTTGTTTCTTATACTCAGCTTTACAGTTTACTTAAAAGTGTTATTATTCATGTGATTTTTCCATCTTATTCCGTCATTCATTACCTGGGTCTCTTCGCTCACAATGGCATCGGGTCACGTGATGAAACCTAGAATTCGCGCCGCCATATATAAATTTTTCGGAAAATGACGTCACGTTGGATTTCCCTTTTGCTTCTTTTATAAGAACCCATCTTTGAAAAATGTCTTGTACAATTGAAAAGGATTTATTATTTTGAAAATTTAATAGTCAATAACACTTTATAAGGATAGACAATCAACGCCCAGGATTTGACAGAAATAGTGTTGAGAAATTGCACTTCCGGTTTGTTTTCCGAATCTTCCCGAATGTTAATAAATACTAGGGGGAAATAACTCCTGGGCAACAAGCTTACACTTGTCTGAAAAAAGGGAATATATACCACTTCTCGATTAATTTTTTCTACCGTCTTCAAATTTGGTTTAAAAATGAATTTTTAAACATAATTATACCTTTTAATGTAAAGCTATCTGAGCTAATAAGTATAGAAGGATATGGAAATAACGAACAGTATTCAATCTCAACGTCCATTAAACAAATATACAAAATAAGAGCAGAGCAAACACGGACCTCCGAAACATCAGAGGTGGGATCAGGTGCCATGGAGGAGTGAGCATCCCCTGCCGACCGGTCACACCCGCCGTGTGCTCGTTGTCATAATCAGGAAATAACGGAAAAAATCCGTGGTCAATTCAGTGTATAAATAATGGACTAACAATTGGTATGAAAAACGTCAGTCAGCATTTCATTCAATATGATAAATATTGTATTTGCTGACAAGGTCATTGTATCGACCATAGAATTTACGAAATGATGACTTTAAACGAGACTGTTGATATTCTTGTTTCATCAACTTGCTTGTCAATAATTTACCTCGTTTAAGAAATTGTTCATACGTAGAGCATGCTCTTGCGTATCGAATCAACTGAGATATAAATACTCCGTATGCAGGTGATGAAGGTATATTGCTGCATAAGTAAGGGAAGTTGACGATAGAAAAGTTAAAGTCATCACGTTTATCATATAGCTTGGTTGTTAGATTACCATTAGTGTCTATTTCAAGTAAAATATCCAAGTATGAAGCAGAAGTGTCGGACTCTGTGGTATCTTTTATCTCAAGCTCACCAGGATATATCGTGTCGACGTAGGAATGGAAATTATCATTATTAATTGACAATACGTCGTCGATATATCTAAATGTCGAGTTGAAGGCCACAGCAAGTGTTTTATTCTTTTCACGTAAAAGATTTTGCATAAATTCTGCTTCATATGAATATAAAAATAAGTCTGCTAATAACGGAGCGCAATTTGTACCCATGGGAATTCCAATAGATTGTTGGAATACCTGGTCTCCAAAAACCACATAGATATTGTCAATCAGAAACTCAAGCATCTTCTTGATGTCAACTTCAGAGTACTTATGTGTGCAATCAGAATCTTTTTTAACAAAATAATTTTTCAAATGACCAATGACGAGGTAAGTAAATTTACGAGTTCCATTTTTGTTGAAGAAGCAGCTGTCAATGATATCAAAAAGCCTGGATTTTAATTTGTCGTGGGGAATTGTTGTGTATAAAGTTGAAAAGTCGTAAGTTTTTATGCTGTTGATTTTTGTAAAGTCTTGTGATTTCAAATTGTGCAAAAGTTCTTTAGAATTTTTAAGTATCCACATCTGATTGACACCACTTCTTGAATATATAGTTGTACAGTACTCTTGAAGTTTTTCCTTCACTACTGTCAATATTTTAGTGAGAAGTAACGAAAGAGGCTTGGTTGAACATTTACTGGAACCTGCAATGTATCTTTGTTTGTAAGGATTCTTATGAAGTTTCGGAATCCAATATATATAAGGTAGTTCAAATTCATTTTGGCTCTGTGAAATATTAAAAGTATTCAAAACTGACAGGTGATTTTGAAGAATTTCTTCCTTAGAAAGAGAAGTATATGTATAAGTAGGATTACCACTTGTAGAATTAAATCCAAGTTCTTCTAGAATGCAATTTATATAATGAGCCTTACAAACGAAGACAATGTTGTTACCTGCTTTGTCGGCAGGAACCAGTACGTACTGATCGTGTAATCTATCTAATTCTTTTTTCACTTCTGGTTTATTGAACACAGAAGGATAGATGGTTTTCATTTTGCCCCTCAATCTTTTAATACGTGACTTTAACATGGATCTGATACATTTAATCCATTCTGACAAGGTGTCAATGTCTTCTTTTTCATATCTAGCCCATCGTCTGGCGTAATTTTCAACAGAATCCATAATATTTATGAAATTCCGACGCCAGTTGAAGGATCGGGGTTCCCTATATTTAGGACCTTTTAAAATAAGTGATCTAAGGTCCTCATTATGAACTATTTTTACGTCACCTGTAATAACGTGTCCAGCAGGACTATAGTTATAGGGCGAAGAAGAACATGAACACGAAAGGGGATTATTTTTCAGATAGTCGATATCCAGGCCATGTAAAGTGTTTTTGTAATTGAAAAGTTTGGAAGCAATGGTCGATGTAAATTTGTAGGAAATACAAGGCGTAGTCGTTAACTTGAAATATGGTGGAATACAAGACTGGACCCTTTTGTGATTAAGAATATTACTTATATTAACCGCGTCAATTCCTTTATTGGCATATTGAAGTTTAAGGAAAAGACGGATTGTTTTAGCTGCATTTTCTTCCGTGAAACGTGCGGGTTTAAAAAGCCTATGATGTGCAATATCCATAATCACAGAACCGAGCCTATATTCAGGTGTCGAGGAATCTAAATTTGGATGTTCCTTGGTCTTTTCAAGAAGACTATTTAAAAGTTTCAAAGGGACAGAGTAAAGTTTGGTTCGAATATGATGTAGACCTAATAGATGTACATGATAAGACAAAAGTTATATATGATGAAATTAAAATTTTCACCGATTTTATTCTAAATATATTTCCAATTTTAATTTTTTTTCTCTGTGATATCTCTTTGAAAGTTATCGGAGTTAATTTCTTGATAATTCTACCGGAATGTAAATTAGGCAGTTCAATAGGTCAGGAGCTAAGGAGGCCTAATATGCATGCAAATCTCGTGCGCATTTGTCCAGCGCTAAGGAGGCCAGATATGCATGAACATCTCGTGCGGATGCCGTTATGTGTCAAGTCAGTGGGCGAAGACTATTGAAATTGGGATGGGAATCCTCGTGTGATTTAAATCTATGTCTGCATTTTTAAGTCTAAATCTACAATTTTATATAACAATGAAATGGATATAAGGAGTCACTATCCAGTTAGTATAGTATGACAGGGACATCAACAATAGTGGGAAACGTGGGATCATTTATGCATAACGGGCGAATTATCCCATGTTTCCCACTATTGTTGATGCCCTGGCATATTATACTACAATGAAGCGCATTGAAGTGGTAAAATTTTCCGTTCGAATGGAAAACGTTTTGAGCTATATTTAGAGTGTTTATAGTCATCTTTTGACACGCCCATTTCTTTAGAAATTGATAAAACGGTCAAGTTGTTTCTTCAAATACCTGTAGAACAGGTTTTCCATAAATATAATAGCCAATCAAATTGAGGATCTAAATAAACACCGAGTAAACACGTGTTCGACCGAAACATGTGTTGTGGTAACTTCAATAGACATGATAAGTTCAAAAATATGTACATATTTGTTGCAATTTGTGTTTAACAGAAGCGGGGAGTCTCTAACTCCCTCTTCTAATTTTTTTAAAGCTCATGTAACTCATGATGCTTGTCGCGAAGAATGGGATGTCCTAAAACTACGACGAATATTACTTTCTCGTTTCTAAAAATATGGGCGTGTCATTATGTTATAATTGACCTTCAAAATATGACTCAGAACTTTTCATCCAAACGGAGAATTTTACCACTTCAATGCGCTTCATTGTAACTAGACAATGATTCCTTAAATAACCTTACATTTCTATTGTTATATTGACTTTAAACTTTGTCTTATTTAGATGAATCGGCAAATAAATCGATTATTTTTTTTTTAACTTTTGATATCTTTGAAATGCGATCAATTAAATATATTGTGCAATGTACATGAAATTTAAAGTCGTATCTTTATGTAAAGTAATAAAAAACTAGTGCTAATTGTAACGGGGACCGTTACAGATGTTCCCCAAACGCTCCCCAACTCCCTTTTGGTGCCATATTCCCTGTAAGCTTCATTAAATCAGACAAACTCTATGCATCTGAGATTTTAACAACATATACAAAGAAGTGTACAAAGATCATTTAAATTTTAGCATCGCAGGCATGCCCATGTGAATGCATTTGCGTCATGACCATATCATCTTGTCTACACAATCTATATTTATTAATACACTAAATATTAAAGTATTTAATCCAAAATTGTTAAAAAATATGCTCATTCAAGTGTATTTTTGATTTTACTCATTTCATGTGCACGCACGTGCATACATGAGCATTGTGACCATACCTTCTTGTAGAAGTCCATTAGATCTATCTATGTTCTAAATTCCACCCCGTTTGGTTGAAAACCAAGGGAGTTACAGCTGTTTAAAGTTTCAGCCAATCAGATTGAAGCACATGTTTACGCACGTGTATGCATGTGCATGGTGACCATCCCTACTTGTAGAAGTCCATTATATTTATATATCTATGTTTCAAATCCCATCCTGTTTGGTTGAAAACCAAGGGAGTTATAGCTGTTGAAAGTTTCAGCCAATCAGAATGCAGCGCACGTGCATGCACGTGTTTTCATGATAATTGCTTTATTTCATGTTGTAGGAGATCCTAATGCATGGCTATGTTCAAAATTTCAAATGATTTCGTCAAAAAACAAGAAAGATATTGAGACTTTAGTTGCAGCCAATCAGAGCGAAGTGCACGTGCATGCGCGTGAGATCTTGCTATTTTGACCATGTCATCATGTCTATACTACTAATATATCCTCATATTATGAGTTTCAAAGCATTTCATCTACAAATAGAACAGTTGTGGCTATATCTATTATATTGGTGATTTCACGTGTTGCACGTGCACGCTCTTGCAAGCACGTGCGCGCAAAATGACCTTGATTCCGCAAATCTACATAACATGTCTACTAACCCTAAAAAGGTTTTACCTACATCGGACGAACAGTTTACAAGATCA